CTTATTTTTAGCCCTCTATGTGATACTGATTCTCTGATGTCTGATAGCATTGTTTTCAGACCGTTTACGTTGTTTGTAAACTGAGACATGATATCAGCAGCGTTTGATTCATTTTCTCCCTGAGTCATGTCGAGTAATAGGCATATCTTTTCGTAAGTGAGGGGGTAAATACTTTTGTTCTTTGAGATCATGGTTCGCATGAGTCCTAGTATGCTTTCAGTGGGATATCTGGCCTTCTTTGTTTTGGCATTTGAGCTGGCTCTGCACTTTTTTCCAGGTAGTGGTACTGTTACTCTAGTTTGTGGTCGTTGTTGATTCTTGTTGATCCCGTGATTCTGTAATACGTATGGTTTGTCCTTACATAGGGTTGTTATAGTGATGTTATTTCGTTTCTGGTTCTGGTCATCATCCTGCGTATATTTCTTAGTGTCAGATGTACCTAACAATATTTCCTTGTCATTGTATTTGTTAATAGTTGTTTCCTTGTCAGTACATTTATTAGTAGTTGTTTTCTCGTCAGTATATTTATTAATAGGTTTTTTCCCGTCAGTAGATTTATTGGAAGATGTTTCCTCGTCCGTATATTTATTAATAGGTGAATTGTCATTAATTGTTACCTGCCTATATTCAAATTCGCCTAATCTATTAGACTCAATGACTACAGCTTCAATCCTGGCTGCTTTCTCCAAACTACTCTCTAAATCAACTGTGCTTGAGCATGGCTCAATCCCAGTTGATTGGAGCGTGTGCTCAGTATTTACCGGACTATATCCCTCCACCAATTCTATTTCTGAACATTTTGCTGCAAAATGCCCTGGTTTCTTGCAGACGTAACATACAATAATATCTTCGGCAAGAAAAATCCTGTAATTGATTCCCTGATAATAAAAGGAAATCGTGCTACTTAACTTGGTTATATCATCCGCCGCTATAAATACTTGTCGTCGGAACGTTAGTACATGGCTCAGGTTTTTTTCTTTATAACCGAAGCGTAAGAAAGTTATTGGAGATAGCAGCCTAATCCCTAGCTTCTGAATTTCTTCTTCCAAAATTGTTTGAGGTATACTGGGGCAAGCACCGGAAATAATGATTCGCTTTCCTGGATCAACCAGCCGCTTAATTGGCAGCTTATGATCTCCTATCGTCATACAGGAATGCTTCATTAGAAGCATATCAACTTGATCCTTACTACTCAAATGAAAGCAAAATCTATTTCCAGAAATTCTAGAGGCATACCTAATGTGACTGGGTTCCATTATCTCAGCGAGTGCTTCGATATACTGTTTCTGCTTCACACCGTTAACAGTAGGAACAATAATAGCATACTCACGGTGAGAGCTCTGTTGGTATGACGCCACTTTGGCATAGGTAGGGCCAGGTTGTTTAACTTCCCAGTTTACAGCCTTATTGGAGACTTCCATTTTTCCTGCCTGAGTATTCTGGAGTAGTCCACACACCTCAGCATTCCTTACAGCGCCTGGACCATCTTGAGATCCGTCCATTACCAAGCCTTGCACTTGAAGTGCCTGCCCTGGCAGATTCTTTCCTGCAACCACTTTCCTGTTAATGATTAGATGTGTAGCGATCGGCAGCCACTGGAGATGACTTTCCTTAGTCGGTAGAAACCGCCGTTTGACAGTTTTATGATTTTCTAAAAAAAATATTTTTAGTTTTTATTCAACAAGCACCCAGCTGTGTCATTATGTATATTATTAATACATAATAACTGCTATTATAAAGAACTTCATTTTTATTGCTTTAAATTCACTGATAAGGAATTATTCCTATAATAAATCTTTTTTTCTTGTAATTTAAAAACAAGTTTTTGTCAAATAAGAAGCTTCTCTTCCAAATCCTGCCCAGAAATATCATTATGGTCAACATAATTTTAATATTAATAATTTCCCAAATACAAACACATATAAACTCTCAAATACCAAAAATCAATACATAATAATAGAGGTGGATCAACGTTCTTGCGTTATATAGAAATATTTGGGTTGTAACTACTTTTATTTTAAAAAGCAAAAACAATTAAAAACATGACAGAAATGCAAATATCTGTTGAAATCCTCATTAATAACGTTGCTTTATTAGCGCTTTCCATGAGATCTCTTTGATTTGTCCTAAAAAAACTAACAGTAGACAGATCTGCCACAAACAGGATGAGACATGTGCAAGCCAAGGAAAATAACTTTTACGCTTTGTGGACACCATTGTTTGGGTAATGTGAAAACATGGCTTGAAATAATTATTCACAAGCATAAGAATTTAGGGGAGAAAATACATAAGTGTTAAAAAATATCCCAAGCTGAATAAATCATATTCATGCTGATAAAATGGAAATTTAACAACTATATTTAAGTTTGTGATCCACTCACAAACATTTATTCTAAAAATGTATTATGTTCATTACAAATAATAATGACATACTTTGAAAATTTAATCAAAAAAGGATCAGTAGTTTTAATGGTTGAGGGGCTATCAAGAGAACATTTTTAAGCACATTTGTGCAAATTTAATAGTAAATTAAAAAATATAATACCATACTTTTTCATTAAAAAAATTGAGTTAATGACATTAAAAAACAAAAATAAATTAAATTTATTATTTTAGCAAAAGTATGTAACAATAAAGAACACAATATAATAAGGGCATTATCTTTCTGAAGTAACAAAATATTTTAAATTAACAAGTACATAATGTATATCGCCAAGTTATTGCAAAAGTAATTAAGTGACATTTATATAACCTTAAATTACCTAGAACTACGATGAATTCCCTCTTTGTTTTTTTGGGGGGGCTGAAGCTCCCCCTCCTCCCTTCTCCCAAAATGGTAAAATATAACCATGTTTTATAGAAAAAAATATTAAAAACTATCTCTTAAAGTATTATTGTTCGTGTAATTACATTTAATAGGACTTCAAGAATCATTTAAACACTATGTCGTATAGGTAGTTAGTTTCTTTCTTCTTTTTTTTCAAATTAATTATTGTTTTATATATATATATATATATATATATATATATATAAATGAAAAAATAATCTTTTGGGCTGAAGCCCCTCCCCCAACTTAAATCCTGGATCGACTAGTGCCGTGCACCATATTGATCTCTATAATTATAATACTCCAATTAGGATAAATTAATAATATTAACAATATATGTATTACATATTTTTGAAATGTAATGCAATTATTATCAGATGATGCCATAAATAAATTATGATGATGCCATAAATTTAAAAACATAAATGATAAGAACAGTGTTCTTGCTCTTCATCTCATGTCAACTTTCTCTGAGAATAGGACTCCTCTTTGTCTGACACCATCTTACTCAGTGCTGAGGATTTACTGTCAGCACCCTCTATATTATCGCAACTATTTGGCAACTAATTTTCTTGTTTTTTTCTTGGCAACAATGCATGTATTGTTAATGTTATTAATCAACTATTAATTTATTCTAATTGGAGTATTATAATTATAGAGATGAATATGGTGTACAGACACCAAAAGCTTTTCTACAAATAAAGTTTTGTACCAAGAGACTCAATGGTAAAAAATCCTGACCTTATAAAAACCAAAATTTGGATCTGCATACAGTAAGCAAGGAAAATTTTCATCATTTCATCCTCTTTGTAATGAGCTATTATACAAAATTAAATCTTAATGTGACACTTTGTCAGAAAGTCAAATAGGAAAAAAGATAGCACCAAAAAAAAAAAAAACGACTGTTTTAAAAATTTGGTCTAAAATATCTCAAAATTTCAATAGCATGGATAATTCAAAACCAATTTGCGGAATTCATTATAGATATTTTTTTTTTAATTAGACATAAAAATAAGAAATTATATGTTTCTATTCGATTTTCTATTGCAGTCTATAGAGTTTCGACAAATTGCTGAACTCCATTACAGAAGTTATATTAAAAAAACGATAGAAATTTTGTTAGATATTTAGCAAATTGATTTCTACCAAACATATTCATCACATATGTTAGTTATTATAAACCTATTATATCATTTTTATAGTATGATAAACATGAGGAGCAGTCCGAGAAAAGTTTACTAGAGTAATTTACACATAATTATAATTGTATATATTGTAAATGTTATTTTATTTTGTAAATATAGAACAAAAAATAGTTTATATACAATTGTAATTGTATATATTTTAAATATTATTTCTTTGTGAATATAGAACAACAAAAAATTTATATTTCATATCATTAATCTTGCCTTGTTGATGTTTTCACTTCTATCATATGGTCTAAAGCACACAACGTAATTTTTTTTTTTTTTAAATAATTTTAAAGTTCACAAAAACATTCTTATAAGATCAGCTCCATAAAAAATGTACTTAGTGACTTCTTGCATTAAACCAATGATATGAATTTGAATAATACAATGGTGTGTTTTCCTTATTACTGATACAAATAATACTTAATTTCAACCAATCAAATAAATAAAATTAAAATATAAAAACCTTCATTAATTATTTTATTGCATGTGTAGTATATCAAACACTACTAATATATGTCTTCTAACATTTATTTGACATTGGATTTAAGTTGGCTATAATAATGTGAATGATAATAATGTATATATATCATGGGTATACTACCAAAACTGACTAAGTCATTAATTTTAAAGCTTTAAATTAAGAATCATAAAAAAGCTTAATAATAACAATAACAGATAATTGCTCTTATCTACTAAAATCAAAACAACCATTTTATATAATATTAACATGCTTTATATTAACAAAATATTTTTAATATATTGTATTATCATATAAACTCAAAATAATAAAATTTGAGTCAGCCAGATTTAGTTGTATGTCGACGATAAATGATATATTAAGAATACACACAATCACTGCATTTCATCACTTTTGTAATAATCACATATGTAACTTTTACCAACACATTATAAAAATATAGGAAACAATAATTTTTACAAACATCAAAATATACAATAAAACTGAATCAAATGTCATAAGTCATGTTTTATATTTTTATAATCACAATATAAAGACAATAAAACATTATAACTTACAAAATATATTTCTATTACAATAAATTATGTCTTTTTATATGTACAAAATATTTACATACCAACAAGCTATGGGGCCTTTTCAAACAAGAACAATACCCACATTTACATACTGAGAAAACAGACATTCTCAATCGCTTTGATTCTCATTTACTGACATGTTGTAGTAACATAAGTTTAAATTCCTCGGGCTAATATTTGAGTACTTAGGAGTAGCAGGAGCTGAAGATGACTCTTCGAACTAATGTAAAAATTTCATATCAATTATATAAATTAACAATCATAAAAACTAAAAGTTCAAAATTCAAAATATAAAATTTAATTAAATTTCTTTACTTTATTCTTTCATGCTAATAAACTATAGATCATGACTATCTATGACAGAAAATTATCAAAATATATATAAGCAATAAACCAGCAACTCTACTATCAGCATGCAGAATACTCTAACAAACAAACATTGCAACCTCTAATCCACACTTCAACTATTTTAAGATATTATCATTCGAAAAACAATTGTGGATTAAGTAATGTATATGATGTAAGTAATGTATATGATCAAATTTATAAAAGCATATATTTAAAAATTATACACAAGTAATTTGTATTTTATTACTAAACCAAACGCCAAAAGAAATATCTACAACTGACACTCTTAATTGAAGCAAAAAGTAATTCCTTTTTATGGACATATACACACACACATATAAAAAAAAAGTTATATAAACATATGATTGGTAAAATTATGTTTCTTGAATTTGTATTTTTTCAATTCATAAAACTAAGTTTAACTTATACCAACTTACTTGCTTATAATATAATTACTTTCTCCCTTTTCAATTTAGTTTCATTTCTTAGTTAGTACAGTAACTTACAAATAATGAGAACAAATCACTTTTTCTTATTATTCTGAGGTTCAAATTAAAATATGACAATGGACTCATTAGAAAGCAGGAAAAGAAAACAAAATTCACGTTGTACAGTTCACATATTTTATTTTAAACATTTTGAGTTTTTGTTTCATATGAATTAAAACCGATTATGATCAAAGAATAATAAAAGAACCTGAATGTACGATGAGCTTAAATACCAACAAAAGAAGTTCATTTAGTCTTGTATTCTATAACCTACAATTTCTTTTAAATTTGTTGATTATGGTTGTGCCACTCACACATACATAGAATAACACACTCAAGTTTTGTGAGGGCATTGATTAGATTAATATTTTAAAACTATTTTAATATCAACAAGTGAAAAAAAAATTATATTTATTTTTCAAATAATGAAAATGAATTTCAATAATTTTATTTTAAAAAATAAGATATGAATATTAAAATTAATAATATATAATATCAAGTATGTAGTCAAGGATATGCCTGTGTAGGAGGTAAGTTCCAAATGATTATTTCATTTTATAATATATTATAAAATGAAAATTGTATAAACATACAAATAAATTTCTATTAAAAACAAGTTTCATTTAAACTGAAAAACAGGCATAGCTTAATTATTTAAAAAGAATAACCGTAAAATAAAATAAAAAATAAATCAAATAGGGACTAAGTTGTAAGATTCCGATTTATATACATTAAAAATATAAAATAAGTAAACCTTAAAAAAAAAGAAAATAAGTAGTATAATTTACAATGATAATAAATACATAAACATTTTTTTATTTCACAATGAACGATTGTTTTCATTATACGCTGTTTTTTTAGGGATTTAGGCTGACTCAGGACCATGCAAATACAATATTACTTAGTATTTTCTTTTTCTCATTCTCTACACCTCTCTTATTCTTTTGGAATAAAGTACTTTTATTTAATCTAACAATCTCTTTTTTTTTTTTGTTCTCGCCTTCCTTATCTTTTAGGAGTTTTTCTGAGCCGGAGGAATTGTGCCAAGTTAAAAAATCCACCAGGCACTGGGATTTGAACTTGTAATTATTTCTCTAGCTCTAACTACGCTTATAGGACAACGCAATGCAAGGTAGCCCGCTCAACCAGCCTGCCTCCATTAATCTAATAATCTAATTCCACCAACCACTTCTTACCTCCATGCCTTACTTTTGAATGCAAGGACTCTCATTTAGTTAACCTGTTTCCTGAATTCAACACTATCCAAACAATCCTCACCTATCTCTGTTATGCTGTTAAGTTATCTCCAACTAGGCTGTTAAGTTCTTAATTTGTTCCGGATATCTCTTTACCATATTGAGGCATCCCACTTTATCAGTAATTTGCTTATTTATTCTATAAAATTACAGTCTTCCTTTTCTCATCAATGTCTCTAAGTCAACTCCTCTTTTGTATAGTTCATGACTACTATTTCTAGCAGTACTACTGTTTATTTCACTACTGTTTATTTCTAGCAGAGGAATTGGCCATATGCTCTGTTGCCACATGTTTGGAAGTTATCAATTATGAGTAAGTTGAAATAAACAGTAAGTTCCTCAAGCCCTAGAGTCCCCCAAAATGACTACACTGATGAAGGAGTGTAAACTGGCATTGGAACATTCGCTTGCTCCAAGAGTGTACAACTAGTGTGAGTCCCTGGTCATAAGAGAACAAAAGATAATGAGAAAGCTGAGATCTAATCGGCCCACTTACCCGATAAGTCCCAACAGCTATTGAGACTAACTAATAATGGAAGGATATGGATGTGCATGTTTGTGTGTTAAAAAAAATAAATCAATTACTATTCTAAAATTTGAAAGTACTAGAAGATTAAACAAGATTGAATAATCTTAGATACAGTTGTGCTATGATGCAGATTAAGTTATTAATATGGAAATATATGAGTGGCCTTCTAATAAATAAAGACATCTGTCATTTTCAAAAAGTCGAGAAAATGCCAAGTCTTGAGACATGTTCAATTTAAAACAATTCTAATGATTTTGTTTCGTGATTCAATTTAAACATTTATAAATAGAATAATCAGAAAAAGTTTGAGTTGGCTTTTTCCCCACTTTCTGAAAATAACCGATGTCTCTCTTTGATAAGAGACCATTCATATGGATGATTGAATGAATAAATTGATAATAAATGCATACCATGCAAATAAATTTATTCACATATATTTATACAATATACAAAATGTACAAAATAAAACCTTAGGTTTTCATATTTACATTAACTTACCAAGGAACAGTTGGTTGCTGGATGTGGATAAAATAGAAAACACACATTAAATGTACACTTTTTTTTTATGTCTGCTAACAAAATACAACTTTGTAAACAAATTCATATAGCCCTGGAGCCAGAGCCAAAAAACGGTCCTCATCGTACGCGAAGGTTTGAATGTAAATTATGAAAATGTATAACATTTTAACTAAAATAAGCTTTGTCTGCCATTCCAAAGCGGCTGTTTTCAGAAAAGGTGGCCATGCAAAGAGGTCCAAATTTGCTGAAAATAGCCCTCATCATAGGCTAGTTGGAACTTTGATAGGTGGATCTTTCTACCAAAAGTTACCGTGTTTGAGCGGTCTGCCGTTTCTGTTCCGTTGCAATCATACGGCAGATTTAACTTTGGGAGTTGTAAATTTATCCACAAATGCTATCTGAGCTCATGTGTTCTTTGCTTATGATACAACATATTACATATATTCAGAAGTAATCATGAGATTCCAACAATGCTTGAGCATTCTCTGTGGTTCTTCCAAGTGGCCTTTGCTGCTTCTTAGTCCCATCTTACTAACCCATATTTCTCCTTTAATCATCAAATTTGTTCATAGTTTATATTTAACCATTTCCATAAATAGCAACAATGGGAAAAGGTTAATCATTATAAATAAAAAAAGTTAAAGGTACGCTAGAGACTTTTTTTTTTCCAAACCCTCAATTTGAATTATGTATTAAATAGGAGTTTTAGCTTTTTTCTGAAACGAGGTTTCATTTTCTGGCAGTCTTAAATTGCGAGTATTTTAAAAGGTGTTGGGCCAAGACTTTTTTCTGAACTAATATATAGACTATATACAATCGTGAACGTCTATGTCACTTTCCCGTTGGTGTATTCTGCCATCGCACTGGCGGAGGTGCAGGTGCAGTTGAGAATAATGTGTTAGAGAGGTATTTAAGTAAGTCTAGAAATTTAACATGCCTCCTCCTGATAAATTACGGGTCATCCAGTATGCTGTAGAGGGACGGGGTGTTTTCCTTCTTCCACACCATTGTTTTGCTATCTTTCTAGGCATTGTGTTTTGAAATTGTTGGAGGTGTCGTTGCTTGTTTTCATTACAATGTGAAAAGAGCAGTGCGCCGTACAGGAGTGCTGGTCTTAGTATAGCCTTGTACACCTCTAACTTGAATCTGAGTGAAAGGACTGAGGATGTGAGGAGATAGCACAGGTGGTAGGTCCGTCTTCTTATCGATTTCGTCTTTTAGTGGATGTGAGTTGACGATTCGTCTTAGAGTGGAGAAGGCGGGGATGTCAGTCCAGAGTTATACCTAGATATACTACGGAATTTAATGGTTTGATCAAGTTTTTTGTCACTCAGAGAGTTCTTAGCATTTTATTCTTTTTACCTTTTTTGGTAAAAAAAACACTACACAGTCCGTCTTTGCTGGGTTCACTGAGATGTTGAGATTTTGTAGCTATTGAACTATCTTATTAATAGGGTGTTCAGCTTGTTGTAGTGCTTTTTTGAGATTGACACTGTGACTGTAGATGGTGATGTCATCTGCGTGGTGACAGTTTATTTTTTAGTTCTTGCCAACATCTGCTATATATATTGAGAATATTAGGATTGCTCCTTGTGGCACCCCACATCCTAGGGAAGCATCCTTGGAATATTTACCTTGAACTTACACCGAGAGACTTCTTTTTTTGAGGAAGGCAATGATCGTTCATTTTCTATGTAAATTCTACTAATCTTTATTTATTCTGGTGTTGGATTTTCACAGTAGTATCTTATTTTCTTAAGTTTTGATAAAGGCTTAAGGAGAAATGTTGAGAAACATTAAAAATTAGTTTACACTTATCGCGTGTTTTCTTCCTTGTCACAACCCCCAGTTACATCTGGTTTCATTAAGTAAAAATGGAAAAATTGGTCACTCAATATGTTTATTTATACTCTAAAAACCTCTTGTCACCAGAATAATGGCATTGAATAAGTCTAATATTAGGCAAAGTTTTGTTTTTATTGGTTTGTCCGGAAAATAATGCAGGATTTTGGTTTAAAAAGAAAGATTTACAACTGTTTTATATAATCACAATAGTCTCCACTCCTATCAAAACATTTCTGCTAACGTGTTGGCAACTTTTCCATTCCCTCGGAATAGAATTTTCCATGTTTAAAATTTATAAACTCCAAAACGCATTTTCTAATTCCCGTTGTCCTTAAAATTTTATGTCACATAAGTAGTGGTCCAGGTGTCTAAAAAAATGGCAATCCGTAGGCGACAGTAGGGCTGATGTGGCAAAGTTTCATATGGAAGCTTCAACAGTTTTTGTGATGTCACACGTGAGACATGAGGCCAGGCGTTGTCACGCAACAAATTGGGCCCCTTCTGATTGACCAAAGATGGCTTCATTATTGCTAATTTCTGATGTATTGCATTAATTTGGTTACAATGCCATTCAGCATTGATGGTTCCTCCAGGATTTAAAAAGCTGTAGTGTATCAAACCAAATGAAACCCATTACCAAACCGTAACCATCACCTTTTTTTGATGAGTCGGGGGCTTTGGAAAATGTTCTGCTGCTTCAACTTTGTCAAGGCACTGTCCAGAAGGTTTACCGTTATCTAAAGTATCCACTTTTCATCACAAGTAATAATGCTAGATAGAAAAGGATCGTTTTTGTCTCGGTTAAGAAGTGTAGCACAAACATTGTTAACATTGTTTTTTTTTGCAGTTATTTAAGGTGTGTAGAACCCAACTTTCAAGCTTTTTTACCTTTCTAATAACCTTGAAGTGCTCATCAATGGTCGATATGCTAGGATAAGTTCCCTACAAGTTTCCGAACAGTTGTTCAGGAGTTTTCTTCCACCAAAGCCCACAGACAGAACATCGTCATCAAGAGAGGAGTACTTCCACGACCATTTTTGTATTCGAAGCCGAAGTCTTCCTCCCGAAATTATTTGAACCACCGTTGAACAGTGCACTCATGAATGCTGCTCTCGCATCAGACTTGATTGATGTTCCTGCTGTCTGGGTTCTATTCTGGCCGAGTTTAAACTCATAAAACAAAATTATACAAAAACCACGCATTGACATCTTAGTAAAGACTGAATAATTTTTAAGCAGCGAAATGCTACAGGAATAAACAAACATTGCTGTTTGGAAGAGGAATATTAAATGTTGATATTCATACAATTGAATAATCCAGTAAATGTAAATAGTTTGATACATAGAGGGATATTTTAAAGAAAACTCAAAACCCTGCATTATTTTCCGGACAACTCAGTACAAACAAAAAAGACAAATACTACTTTATTTGTCATTAAAATAAAATTATTTATTATAATATACAGATATACTTTTAAAATTACCTTTGTTATTAATTAAATAAATGAAAACACCTATACCACTACTTTTTAGGGTAAAGAGTTGGATAAAAAAAAAAATGTAGATAACATACACGAACGGTTATTAATAGTGCATGTTATGTTTTCAAAAAGTCTTCCATATTTAAAAGGAAGAAAAAAAAAACCAACCATACAAATTGGTTAGTCAACTTAGTAGTAGGTTTTTTGACTTGATCTATTTAAAACATACATGTATGAATAAAATAGCTCACTATTATTTCAATTCATGGACTATCACAAATACACATACACGCTCACACAGACAAATCAGGATCACAGATTTTTAAGGCTTACCATCTAATACTGAAGAAAATATCCAACAACAATATTATGAAGAAGAATGGAAAAAAAGATACAAACTACCCTTAATTTCAGCAAAATTAGAGCACTACCTGCATTTCTTTATCATCCTCATCAAGTCCTCTTTTTTGCGCAATTGTTCTCAATAAAGCTTTTCCTTCTTCTTTAGTCTGTTAAAAACATATAAAGAACAACTATTAAATATAAACAGACAAACATATAAATGAGTTCACTATAAATTGTGAAGCTAATTTATGTTGGTTTAAACTAAAAAAATTTAAATTGTTTTTTTTTTTCTTGAAATAAAAATAAGAAATATAAGAAAAATATTTTTTTAAACATCAACTTTAAAAATATAACAAAAATTATTTTCCTCTAATTATTTTCAAATACATTTACATAAAAATAAATAGTACTATGAATATTTGAAATCAGCTGAAATACTTTTCTAAATTTAGTTTGAACAAAAAAATTCTTTCAGCTGATAGTGTAGTGTAAGTGTATTGTCGACTGAATACCATAATACCATACTACTTCAATCTAAGATAGTTCAGAAAGAAAAACTCTAACAACTAGATTGTTTCTTAAATATGTGATGACAGTCCATGTTTTTTCTCTCCAGAAATTAAATTATTTGTATTTTAGTTAATTTAAACAAATAAATCTAAGACCCAATGTATATTTGACATATTATATATAGATTCTACCTAACTTAAACGTTCACAATAAGTTATTTTATTTAAGTCATTATTATAAAAAAAATAGATTTATCATATGACAGTTGGCTCAAATGAGCGAATAAAGGACTTAATGACCAGCAATATAAAGATTCCAGATTGATTCGAATCCTAATTTATCGAAATGGTTGGTAATTATGGGAAGTTGGCATACTCTATATGGGGAATTTATAAGCTATTTGAGAATTAAGAATTAAAAAATTATCTAATTGTAATTAAATAAATTACCTCTTCGTAATTCAAACATTTCTGAGCAAAGGTATAAGCCAACTCTAGTTGATTTTTTTTCAGATGAAAATTGGCGAGATATTTGTAAGCTTGACTCAGCTCAGATTTATTTTCCATACCTGAATTTGTATCATTCTCATTAACAAATTCTGAAAAGGCAGAGGCAGCTTGGTCTGGATTTGATAATTTGTCAAATAACCTAAAAGTATAAAAATATAATGAGTTATTTTAGTTGTACCATTTTTAATAAGTTAGAAATAAAAAATTAAAAGTAGATTTTACTTAGCAAGTTTTAAAATGGCTGAACCTTCAACATCTCCGACACTCCTTGCTTTATAAAAACACTTAAGAGCCTCTTGAACCTTTTCTAGCTTTTCATACGTTTCACCAAGCGCCACCAGCATACGACTGTCATTTGGCCTCAAGTTTTGTGCTTGTTTGTAATAGTATAGGCTATAGCTAGGCATTTTCAATATTTCATATGTCTGTCCCAAACCATACCAAGCTCTGTAATCACGTCTATTAACCTCTAAAATAAATTTGAAGATCATTAAATTATTTTTAATGAGTAAAAAATACAACCTAAATTCTAAGTATTTCCATAAAGAATATTTTAACAGTTTATTTAAAAACGAGTACATTTCCCATAACTTTCTCAGTTTACAGTTTTTACAAATTGCATTTGAATAATTGCAATAATAAAATACCTATTGCTTGTCTATAACTCTGAATAGCAGCGTTAGTATTCTTCATTTCCATATATTCATGTCCCATTAATGTCCAAGCAGCAAGATATTGAGGATTTAGTCTAAGAGCCCGTTGAAAGTACAAAACCGCCTTGTGATGGTCAGAACGAAGACTGTAATAATTGCCTGAAATAGATTGTACATCCAATTATATAAAAAATAACACTAAATGAACTGAATTCATATATTGGCATATTGATTAATTTTAACTACTATAAATATTTAAATTGAAAAAAAAAATATACTTATATATTTGAATACCTATAACACAGCATGTTTCAATTCTGTATTTATCAATTTCTGACACTTCTTGAGCTAAATATGCCAGCTCCACTCTCATCTCTTTAACATACAATAGATTAGAAAGAGTATCCATATTGTCAAGGTTGTACGGATCCATCTTCCTTAACTTCCTAAATGTGGCTATTGCCTCAGTTACCTCTTCAAATTAAATTTAAAAAATAAATAAACAGAAGATTCCATTAATGTATAAATGTCATACTTGATCAAATCACCTCTTTTGTTATGGAAAACAATGGCTTTTTGTGCTAAAAGATAACTGCTACCATTAAATCCAGCATTCTGAAGTTCATTGTAAATATCCAGGGCTTCATCATTCATTTGCTGTTCCAGATATGCATGAGCAAGAAAAAAGTGCTTCATCCAATGATCAGGAAGAGAGAGTGATCTTAACTTTAAAAAAATATATTTATATAATAATTAAAGTAAAAAACAATTATGTAATTACAAAATATTGAAAAAAATACTTTAGCTCTGTCTGTTATAAGATTCACCAATTCCAACCAGGCACCCCAATGTAAAGGTTCTAAAGTAACAGATTCTGAGAGGACTTGTCTCGCTTCATCTAATAAATCTAATCGTTTTAAGACTACTCCATATAAATAAAGACAAAAAGCATCCAAGTTCCCACGAAGGTAATCAGCACGGAGCTCTGTACAGAGCCTTTGAAGTTCTGACACTAGTTTAGGATCTGGTCCCGCAAAAAGCTCATTAAGGTTGTCTATCTTTTTCCTTTCTAAAGAAAAATATTTCGCATACATGTTCAAAAATTTAGCACAGCTGGATTTACAATTTTCAATATAAAATGCACACCTAAACAAAAAACAATTAAGTTTTATTATTCAAAATAAATCTATTTCATATATCTAACAAGAAAATAAAGTTTATAAAACCTGTCATATTCCTTCAAGTCAAAATAACTCTTAGCCAATAAATAGCTATCATATTCTTCCAAGTCTACAATTGGTTCTCTAGGAAGGTAACTGTTAACTTTGATGTGGCTCAAACAATGATTCAATTCTGATAACCTGAAAAATTAAAAAAAAGTTAATACACTTAAGAAAACAGCAATATTTATCTTTTACAAAAATTGTATAGTATGAAATTATAAGGAGGTAGGTCAGTGACAAAGAGCTCATCCACAATGGTGTTATACCACTACCAAAATGCTGAAATCTATAAAAATCTATTTATATTATGTCATTTTCATGACAACCTGTCATTATTAAATTTATTTAATTGCTCCAATAACTAGATATTATAAAAATATCTGCCATGTGAAAAGTGTGTTAAGTGGAATTTTCATAATTGTTAGGGGTATCACTAGAAAGCTCATTTTTCTCTCTTTCTTTGGATCCAATGGGCTATATTATGCATTTATAAAAATTCTGTTGAGATTCATGAGTTGAAACTCAAAAATTGAACTTGAACCAGTAAAATTCCAAACTTTCCATTGTGTTTTTCCATAAATATGATTTTTGGACCTAATATACTATACTACACACAAATGCCACGGATATTAAAATCTGAAGAGCTTTTCAAATAAAATAGCAAACAGTAATTTCTTATTAATAAATATTTAATGCTTATGCGAATACTGTCTTATTTTTATGCTCATGTTATAATTTTTAGTATACTAAATTGAATAAGATATAGATAAGATAGATTTTGAAAGGTGGATATATACACAGAATCCTCTTTTTTTTTTTTTTAAACACCTGAAATAAAACAGAAATAATCACCTTTCATCTACTGTCACAATTTGGTGGGGACATTACTTTCTTTTATAACTGGCACTTCAGAGGTGGTTTTCTTCCTGTCATTCATTTAGTTCATATGGAACATGGTTTCTCATCTTTTGGACCTTTCCCATGGCTTTCGATAGTATGAAAACAGGTTTTTCTATTCCATTCAATTGATCTGCGAGTTTTTATTGGGTTTGAGTCATACTCATCCAACAATAATTACAAATCACTGTCTTCTAACTTTATCAGTGGTCTTCCACATTCTTCATTTCTTGCATTAAAATTGCCACTTTTTAATTTTCTAAAGCACTCAAAGCACTATGATCTATCAAGAATATACTCACACAAGCTTCAAGCATTCAATATGATTCTTCATTAGTACTATTTAAATAGTAAAAGAAAATTTATGCTGTCCGCTAGTATGCTGCACACAAATTGTAGTATGTCGAGTCGATTTGTTCAAAACTACTAAAATGATGCTGTTATATAAAACATACATTGTTGTGAGTAGAAAATCTTTGACATTTGTCGAATTTGTTTTTGCCAATAATGCTATTTAACAGTAACTACATTAACAACTAGAATACTACAGCACAAATGTCACTCCACTATGGTGAGTGGGTCAAGAGCTCTTGATCACACTAATAATGGAATTCCGAGAATGTTCGATTGTTTCCTAAAGTAGACAAAGGTGACTGAACCATCTGATAAGGCCCAAATCTCCTTTCTGGCATTTTTAGCTATTTGGATTTTTTTTCCAGACCAGAGGAGAGGACAGGGGCTTAATGCCAGAATTGAAAGTTCATCAGGTACCAGGATTTGAACTCATTATCTCCGGTTTATAAGGTTGCCAGGAAACCGATTATGCACATGTTTTAGCTCACTTAGCCACCCAGCCTCCTGCCACAACCTCATCTAAAAAGGAACCTGTTGAGAGTTCCTTTTCAACACTTTAGGGGAAACCAGAATCGAAAGAAGGTATGAAATTAAAGCTAATCACCTATTTTATATATAAATATATACATATATATTTAGAGAAGATATCAAAAGTTATATGAGGCTAAATTTTGTATAAAAAATGTGTTTATAAAGCACATTTGAATGAGCTACATATCTTAAATCACCAGAATGAAAATATTGAAATCAGATAGATCCCTGGTAAAGTTTCTTCTTCTGTATGAATTTATTCTTTTTAAATTAATAGATGAGACAGATATCAGAGACACAGCAAATCATAAAAACAATATAATTAGTTATTCTAAAACCAAAGTAGGGCACACATAACTTTCCTTAGAACATTCTTGAGGAGTATTTAATAACAAATTCAAGCAGAAAATCATAAAATTAATTACATATTTACAAACCATTTAGTACTGTGCATTAAACCTCGAACAGAACATTGGTAAATTCCTTTCAACAGGTCAGCTTTGACTTCTTCCAAATTTAAAATAACTGAAGTTTCCATCTTCAAGTTTGAATAATTCACATTTGTTTTCAATTGTAACAGCAATTTGGAGGTAAAATTTTTTCTTCCCAAGAAGGTCAATTAAGCTCTCGATTTACAATCGATTAATTACTTAATCAGCATTATAAAATTATATGTACATTATTATTTTTTAATTTTGTTTCTTGTAGTCGACAAAGAACTAGTTGATTTATATAATCTTTAAATGGGAGATTGAGAAATTAAATCCTGTTTAACCAACAGACTAGAAAATCTAGTCAGTGTTGTTGGCATTTGTATTTACCTCTCGAGTGGAAGGTTATGTATACGTTTCGGTGTTAATCACAAGGATAGGATCAAGTATGACAATGATTTAAAAATTCTTAATGCATTTTTAGACTGCCGATATTCTTCGTGGACATGGAATCTGTCGTAGCTAGTGTAGACAATATTAGATTCGATATAGAAATTGCGTTAGAGCAACAACATGGAGCTTTACCTTTGCCTTTTCCTGGCATGGATAGTGAGTAAATCATTTTTAATTTTCTGATTACATAAATTACTTACATTGCTTCCTTATAGATTACTCTTCTGAAAATACATACATTTTACTTCTATTTAGGAGCAGTTCATGCAAGAATAAAGCTAAATTTTATTGTTTTACAGAATCTATTGTGGCTGTGTGTGAATTTTATGCCAAAGGAAGTTGTGCCAAAGGGACTGCATGTCCTCTGAGACATGTCAGAGGGGATAGAACTATTGTATGTAAGCATTGGTTGAGAGGTCTATGTAAAAAGGGTGATCATTGTGAGTTTTTGCATGAATACGATATGACAAAAATGCCCGAATGTTACTTCTATTCACGATTCAGTAAGTAATACTTAAATATTATGTGTAATAATTAGAATTTGTGTCTTCTTTATTGATTTATAAATCGAGTTAAACTGTATTTATTTCCTATTTATGTAAATTTACTTATATTCCATGAAATAAAGTTTATATTGTATGCATTTTAGTTTCTTTAGTTTTCCAGAAATAAATAAAGTACTTTTGTCAGAAAGAAATGTACACAAAATTAATTTGTATAATCAGACACCTGAAATAATGACAGAGAGGTCTCCTCAAGCACTTTCACCCAGCAAAACTCAGAGAAATTTTGGTTTTGTTCTTTTTCAGAAAAAGGTCTTTAGTTGAGATCTGGCTGATATAACCTTAGAATTCTGTCTAAAACTCAAGTGTGAAGTTCAATCAGGCTAAGATCAATTTCAATATAATATAGGTGGATCTGGAATAAGCTCAGATATCTAAAAACGATTGTTTAGAAATTACTATTTGAAGTATTGTAAATGATGTAACATTATAAGAAATCAGCTCTTATTTTTTTTTGTATTAATTTTATATCCCTTCTATGTATCTCAGGATAAAATAACACTTGCTTTTAAGTTGAAAGTCAGTTTAATATGTACCAAAGAACAGAGGGGGACATATAGCTGTTAGTGCAAAAGATCATATGTAAAAATTGAGTTTTCATACAGAAGAGCATAAAATCTGATTATTTCTTTATGATTTATTAATATAATCTTATATTTTATTTCCCTCTGCTATTTTCCATCATAATGGAGTACTTATTTCAGTTGTAGATTACAAAATGTCATCTTTAGCATAAATAGAACAAATATGGAAAATAGTTACTTAAGACCTTTTGCACTTACAGTAGTGACATGCCACTTATCAATAGAGCGTAGGTGAGGAACTGCGTATATGGTTTCTGTGACATAGTTGCAGCCTCCAAACGTTTTCCAGCCATATTTATTTATTTATGTTATGAAAATTTATAAAGTTGCTCCACTTCCACTCCTCTCCAACTTTCACTCCCCTAAAAACACGGTTGAGAACTTTTTTCTTTCAAAAATAAGGAGTTGCTTTTCAGTGGCCTTCGAAGTTGTCCAGCACTCCAATCAATAAAGAAGTATGGGAAGCACCAATGTCTTGTAGAGGTGGAGCTTGGTCTGTCTGAAAAGTATCCATCTGCTTACCTGCTATGATCCTTCTTCTTATCTCAATATCAGGGTTATTATCCTGAGTGGCTACAGATCCCAGATAAGTGAACTCCGAAACCTTCTCAAATTTATTGGCCCTATAGAGACTATCTCGCCTGGCGTGGGAATCTCTTCTGTCAACATATATTTTGTTTTGGACTCATTAACTTCCTGTCACAATCTGCTGGCATAACCCATCATTGCCAGAAAAGCATCAGTCATGGCTTGTTGTGAGCGTCCCACAATGTCAATCTACATAGGCCAATAGTTGAACAAGCTTGATAAAAATGTTTCCTTGCTGTTCGCGTCTTTCACAGCTTTCCCAAGTGCTAGGTTAAACAACGTTTGCGAAATTCTTCTGATCTCACCATAGATCTCACATCCTTCATGGTAAGCTTCATCAAACGTATAAGTTTCTCAGGTATGTTAAATTCACCGAGAGCACTATACAGTTCTTCACATATTATGCTGCCATACGCTGCCCTGAAATCGATGAACAGGTGGTGAGTTTTGGTTTTATTCTCATGGCCTCTTTCAAGAATGGTTCGCACACAGAACATCTGGTCAGAGGTGGAGATCTTTCTTTTCTAAATCCACTCTGGTACAGACCGAGCTCATGTCCAGCATATGGCAAAAGATTTCCAGACAGAATATGAGATTCATCTTTTAGGTCCAAGACAGCAGCGAGATACCTTGATAATTGCTGCACAGCAACCTTTCACCCTTTTTATGTATAGGACAGATAATTGACCTATTCCAGTCAGAGGGTATCTTCTCATCAGTACATATTACAAGGAGAAGATCCTGTAAAATATTAAACCAATACTCTATTCTTTACTTAAAGGATTTACTTAATGAGCTATCCAGCTTCGATGTACATGTGGAATACTACATATTACTTGGCTCAACCTTTCATTTTGTTTCTTCAAAACCTTTTCCTTTCTTTATTTTCAGATGCCTGTCACAACAAGGAATGCCCTTTCCTTCATATTGATCCTGAAAGTAAAATGAAAGACTGTCCTTGGTATGATAGAGGTTTCTGTAGGCACGGTCCTAATTGTAGGCATCGCCATGTCAGAAGAGTGTTATGTATGAATTATTTGGCAGGTCTGTGCATAGAAGGACCTGATTGCAAATTTATGCAGTGAGTATATTTCATATATATTTACTAGATGCTAACATCTCAATTTTTTATAATCTGATTTTTTCATTTAAATTAATCTTTTATTTATTTTTATATTATTTTTTTTAATTTTCCTATATTCTTTTTAAATCATAGATCTCATTTAATTTATACCACTTAGGGTCTCTCGAATCCAAAAAGTATGATTATTTAAAAATGATCTGTCATTTCTTATTCCTAAGAGGACCTGTTTTTACTGTAAGAAACACATTCTGAACCCAATTATTTAATGATATATGTCTTGCATAGAATTTTCTTTGTTTTACTTTAACAAATTGATTAATGTTTATTTAATGTGACTTTTTACGCTTTATTAGTGAAAATAAAATAGCCTTACTCAACTCTGTTTTATGATACTGTTGTCTTAGGCTGATAGATCATTTTCAATTTGTTTAATTAGAAATAGGTAATATCAGGCCCAAGAGTTAATATAATTCCACTAGTTGTGCCTTTCTGGTGTACTTCCTTACTGCTTTGTATTATATGTTTATATTCAATTAGAGGCAAAGGTGTCTTAGTCACCAGCTCACTTATACTTGTCTAAGTTAACCTCCAATTTCACAACAAATACAAATAAGTGCAATTTCTATTAAAGGGATTTTATAATTTAAAGGAACTATTTTGTACCAATAAATGAAAAATGTTAAAAATTTCTGTTCCCTTTTTCTTGCTGCAAAAACACAAATCCAAGAATTGAGAGAAGGAACTATTCAAGAATGGAATGCCGCAAAGGGAGCCACTCGAAAGAAATATTTCCCCACTGCCAATTCTTACCTTGTTACAAGATGGGTCCAACCTGACTATAGATTTTTCCATTTCTTGCCGGCCATAGGGCATTTATGCCAAATTGCACAGTCTTAGAAACCATATGAATCCCTTATGCACCAGTTTTGCCATTTTTAAATTGCCCAACATTTGATCATAAACTGCATTGCATATGGGGCACTGATAGCCAAGCTAAAAAGGAGTACTGGGACTGGTACTACTACCTCAATGAAAATATTTTCCCCTATACATGTCGCAGCTAAGAGCTGCTTCTAAGAAACCTTTATGTGTGGATGGAAGAAAATAGTGCGTCCATTTCAACTTAAAATTAACATAAATAAGGCTGACTCTGTAGACAGGAACTCTTGGAATTTCTGTTGCATTTGGAATTTAACATCCTGGAACTCTGAAATGACAGTAGACTAATTAATGAAATTAAAGTAATGTAAGGGAAAAAATAATTTTATTTGTTTGTACAATAAAATTGAAATCTTGTATTGTCTATAAGGTAGGGAAATAAAATAAATATGAAGTTTAAATGAGGAAGTTTTTCTATTTAATATGTGTTGCCATATTTATTCTGGCTGGGGAGTATTGGTTGCAACAAATTGTTATTCTATATCTTTATTAGTATTGCCCATATCAGCTACAAGTTATTGACTAAGTAGAACAGTACATTTATCATTTTTAGAACCTTATCTTCTTGTGTTTTTATTTTTTTATTCGTGATATTTACATCTGTGTTAAAAATAAATGTACTTCCAGTAAATGTGAACTCAGAAATATAACATGAAAAAATTGTTTATAGCTCTCTATACTTTTTAAAAATTATGGCCAGTGAAATCATCTACAGATTATGAGAGAAAGATAGAAGTAAAGAATTTCTGTGAATATTACAACAGAATTTATAATTTTTGGTTTGAAAAAAGTTTGTGCAACTCGTTGATTCACTGCTTAAGAACGTGGATCTGCTGAGTTAATATCAAACATCTGAATAGGAAAAAGGAAACTGAATCTTTTATCCACCCAACACTAAAAAAAAAAAAAAATAAGGTGATCTTAAATGAAAAGTGGTTGTGGTTTAAGTAACAAACATAAATGAAGGAAAACTTAACTGAGGTTTGATATGCCAAAAACTATTCAATGAGGCTAAAAAGGCCAAAAGTTGTTGAGTGAGACCTACCAGCCTACTGAAGGCAATTTACACTGATCGAGCATAGGAGTCATGTACTTTAATCCGGAATCAATTTTTCAGGTTTTCACTGGTTCCTATAGGATTGCTCCATGGACAGTTTGTTTCTAGAGAAGAAATATAGATTTTGGTATGCATGTCTGCTCACTCTAAGCAACCTTAATAAACTTGAACCATAATTGGTGGAAAAGATTGCTAGATTGGCCCCAAACGAATCGGGTAGGAGTTATGAATGGCCTGTGGCTACACCACAGATAGAACATGGCTCGAAGCAACATGGGGTCAGGCGACCCCTTCCGGGTTATTTGTGCTCTCTTAAGCAATATAGGTCTATAAGAAAACCAAAGATCTACATGGTCTAAATTGCCAAATAAAAAAAAAATGAGAGTATTTAATGTATAAGCAAAATTTCCTTTGAAATTTTTGAGAGGAGAGCTATCAATGAAATCCCCAAAAAGAATTTGAAGATAAGAATGAAGGCAAGTATATGATTTATTCCCACTGAAGGTCTCTTTACAGTATTAAAGTATAGGGTGTTAAAACAATTGAACCAATCTTGAAAACACAAGTTAAGTGAAGAATTATTTAAGACTGGTCAGTCTATTACACATACATTAATGAATTATCTGAATTTTACATATTTTGAATATAAGAATATATTTTCTTTATTGTGTTATTCTATCTTTTAATGGAAAATTTTTGAGAAATCTCTGATATCCCTATTGTTTTTAATTTTACTTATGCATGTAGAGATTTTTATTTTAATTTAGAGATTCCTTTTATTGCTGGCATATAATTAAAGATTTGTGTTTTTCATTTTTAGCCCAAGATTTGAGCTTCCTGCAGCTGATGCTACCCAGAGAGATCCCAAAAAGCTGTTGATAGTTTGTCATTTTTGTGGAGATCCTGGGCATAAAGCACTCTTCTGTCATAAAATGCCCCAAGAAATGAGAGAAAATGAAGCTCGTTTGCAAGAACAAAGAGTAAGTTAAAAGTATCTATTCTACTACCATCAGTACTATTATGCTACGTGTGTGTGTGTGTGTGAACAATCTAGCTCAAAAACAAAAAGTCATACGTTACTGAAATTGCTTATTTAAGGTTTGTATACACCCAGAATGTAACAGCAACTTTTTTGTCGAAATTGGTAAACCGGAAGTGGCACTTTCTGTCATCAATTTTACACATTTTTATGATTTTCTCAAAAATGGTTTTAACGATTTTGATTAAACTCTGTTTATCAGTGTATTATTAAGTAGTATTTAATATCAGCTAGGCCTTATCCACATTGATGTCACCTTAAAGGGCTTAAATGCCCAATATTCAATATTTCTTCCTCTAAAGTACCTTTAATTTGGCTTATTTTAAATAATTAACTATCACACATTGATAGCAATTATGAAAAAATTCCAAATATAACTTTTAAAAGAAGTTGATAATTAAATAAAGGAGAAAAAAGAGAAAATGCTTATTTAGATCGAAAATGAATCTCTATAAATAATATTCAGAAGGTATACTTATAATATATTGTTGGGAAACAGAGAATTTCATAATAAAATATCTAATACAGGAAGTCGTAGAAGGTAATGGAGAGTGATGAAAAAAATATAAATAACAATTTCTGAAGTCTAATATTATTTAGCAAAAATAACTTGTTTCCAAGGAAATGAAATGAATTTTCTTAGATAATAAATGTAAACTTTTAAAATTATTTTTAAGTTTGAAAAAAGGGTATAAAATCAACCGAATCGAGGCAATTACATTGCTTAAAAACCTATTTGATTGTACTTATGTGAAAGAAGAAGTGAAACTTAAAAATATTTCATGGATGGCTAAAACATTTCTTTAATAACTCTAGATCCGATATTATATTTAAACAATTAGGTATGCATCATCGATTTATTCCAACAAATATTATTATCATGTAATAATAATATTTATTCCAACAAATATTATTATCATGTAATAATAATAAACTGCATTTATTGTTTTATAGCTTGTATTAACAAATGTACACAATTAACATTTAGCTGAGGTTTGAAGTTTGATTGTTTCTAATATTCTTGCAACCACACTAAGTCGTTCAGTTGTTCCATACATTTCCACTCTTTCCTCTCCAATTCCTCTTCTAAGCTGCCCTCCCTCTCCCTCCTCCTCACCTCCAGATTTTATTCATCTCATTTCCTTGTTCCATTCTGTATGTGGGCGTCCTCTCTTTCTCACTTGCTCTTGGATACCAATTCCTTAATTGCCTGGTCCATGTCATATCATTCCACTGATGACACGTCAAGTCCATGTCCACTTCCTTATGTGCATTTTTTCTGAAACAGAGTGAACTTATTGGAAAATAATTCTTTTATCTTCTTTCTTTTGTAGAATAATGAGTTTTGTAGTTTCCCATTCTTTAGGGAAGCTCACACTGTTGTGGCTTGTATTGTAAAAGTAGGATCTTTTCTTCAGCTTCTATCATAGTGCAGAAATAATAAAACCAAAATTTCTTTAAAAAATAGTATTTTCAAATTTTGATGTTTGCTTTATACAGTTAGGAATTGAAAAGTTAAAGGAATATGAAATTTTTGATCATGGCCAGAGAGAAAATCTTTAACATAAATTAGATTAAGAAATTTTAAAATGTTGTGTCATCAATGACTATGATCAATCATAAATTTTTTTTTTATAGCTGATGGCCTAAACTTTTCAAGGGGCTCATAAAATAAATTAATAATCTGATATTGTTAATATGGTGAGGTTTTGGGTTTTCTTAGATTGGAAAAGAAAAAAACAGAAAATAATTTTGTTAATCCTTTAACGACAGTGGACTCATATATGAATTGGGTGCCTTTTGGGACCATTCTAGTTAAACGACATGGTGTTCAGTGATCAATTCTACTTTCAATCCCATGGGGCAGTAACTAATTTTCTGTGATTGAGGATTATGGGCATTTTTGAACAAAGCCTTTAATGAAAAGGTGTAAGTGGTTAGTAGAGGTGATGAAAAGTATTCCATCCTCAAGACAGCTCCATCCTTCTCGCTTACTTGCTCTAAAATGTTAAGGTGGGCCATAATCTTAATGCCACCTTAAATATGTACTGCAAGATTAGAGAAAGAAGAAATTGAATGTAGATCTTATAAAATAATTCAATAGTCTCTTTAGTTTTAATTCATGGTTGGCAGGCAACAGTCAATGAAAAAAAAAAAACTTATGGAGATGACAAAGAGGTGAGGGGTGTTTAGAGAAAAGAATTCACAAAATCTTTGGAGATGTTAAGGATAGAATTTACAAGTCATTTGGGAATTAAGACTGTTCCAGATTAAATCTAAATCAAGGATCTTCTGAATATGGAATTGATTCAAAATGAATTATGAAACTAGATGGGTATGATATTAAGATATCATAAAGGGTAATATGTTAGATGATAATGACAGGATTCACAACCAATAGGAATAACTTTACTTTTCCTTTTCTTGAACTATTCCTTATTCTTTACTAACTAATGATTTATATTGATTATTATCTTCTTCCTACATAACAAGTCAAAAGAATGAAGGGATAAGTAATATCAAAGTCATCTTCAAATAAGTGATATTGGAAATAATTTATAGTCAGGTATATGATTATTAAAAACAGAAAGACAGGTGGTGAAAGAAAAGGGCTTTGAGGAATGTTGTACATAGGTATGAACAAATAGGACAGAACTTTGTTTAGGCTGTTAGAACCACTACTAGTGCTCTTGAATATATATATATTTTTTAAATATTAATATATATGTGTGTGTGCGTGCGTGTGTGTGTAGAATAACAGAATAGAAAATAATTTTATTCTGACAAAAAGTATGTCTTCGTTTTCATTCTGGACAAGTTCCTTTAGAATAAAAAAAAAGTACAAAATTAAAATATTATATCTGGCCTAACTAAAAACAAACACAAAAAGTAAAAAGAAAGAGAAAGAAGTAAAGAAAGCATTAGTTAAACATACTAATTACAAAATAAAAAAAAATCTAATATACGAAACACTTAAAACTATGCCAAGGCACTTAAAACTGTGTACAGTGGTAAAATATAAATATACAATTTAAGAAGAAAAAAAATATAGAAAAAATAAAAAATACATTATATTCTTCTCAAAAATAAACTCTGTCTTTGCAGAACAAAAAAAAAAAAAAAAAAAAAAAGGTGAATCTGATAGTAAAATTGTCAGAGTATTTAAGTGATGAATTATACGTAGATACATCATTATATTAATCATTATGAATAGTATGTAATTTTACATAAAAGGTTAGCGGGTATCTGACTGTTTTGGGGACAGGAATTGGAATAGAAGGATTTTAAATGTAGATAGGGAGGGGGAATCCTGAATTTTGATAGGAAGGGAATCCTAATGCTGTTTAATGCCTTAAACATCAATGTATATTTTATTTTGTCTTGAAAGGTTTAAAGTTTATTGATATGCACTCATAATATTTACAGAAACAGTCAATATTTTTTTTACTTTTATTGGATTAACACACCCAGGGTATGATTTATTTTATATTTATATTTTAGGTGGCAAATGGAGAAGATGGTCAAATTCCTGCTTCTTTGCTTAAATCTGGATTAAAACCTCTAGAGGAAGTAACGTGTTACAAGGTAAAAAAAAAAAATCAGTTGTTTTTTATTATTGCTTTCAAATTACTATTTTTTAATTTTAATACCATTTGTTTATGATTTAGTGTGGCTGCAAAGGCCATTATGCCAACAAGTGCCCTAAAGGTCATCTGGCTTTCCTCACTCTAAGTCAAGCTCAAAAGAAAGCAGCACAAAGCTGACCTGGGAAAGATCTTTAAAAGAAAATATCAATGATGAAATTTGATAACAAGCACCTGGGGTGCAGTATCTTGAAGTATACACTTCTCTAGCTAGATACAATTTTTACTATTTGAACTTTGGGAACTTGAATCTTGTACAAAGATTCAAGTACAGTGGTTTTACCACAGGTGCCTATCAAGAGTTATTATATATTTATGGAATATTTTAGCTTTTTGCCAACATAAAAAATGTAATGGTATGAAGGCAGCATTACTGTGTGTAAATATTATGAAATAAAAATAAATCTTAATTTGAAAAACAAACCAGTTATTTCAAATGTATACATGCAAAACATTTATAAAAAATATGTACTCAAATAATTTTCCATTTTCATTGTTTAATGGATGTAATTTAGCTGATGATAAAATCCTTAAGTTGTTCTGGATATTATGTATATAATGGTCAGTCAATAAAACAACTCAGTTGTTTTAGTGTTGATAGTTGAGTCATTGAAGATACTAATTATGATTGCCCCATTAACAATATGTTTATTAACTCGTAAATAGGTTTTTTATTACTTTATTTCATGCATGTGTTAGTTATTGGAGTATTTATTTAAGTTACGAAGGATGTTGACTATGATTAGGCCATCAAAATGTTGTTCATGCAATTGTGCTTTTTTTTTTTTTTTTTTTTTTTTTTTTTTTTTTTTTTTTTTTTTTTTTTTTTTTTTTTTTTTTTTTTTTTTGAGATTCCTTTGATATTGGATTTTACCAATATATTATCAATAATCTTTTTATATTTAATTAATAATAAATAACTGAATTGTTTTATATATTTTTATTAAATTTAATATTTTATTTGTTGAATTTAGCAAAACAAAGCATATTGGAGATTAAAACTCCAAATTTATTTATTGTTCATTACTACAAAACAAACCGTAGTACATGTATGTTTTAATGTAAAAATTATGAATTTTCACAGTAAAATAAATGAAAACGAAGTCATACTTTTAGTCTCATTGAAAAAAGGACCTAGTGTTCATAAAATCAACCGCACAAAGTCTCATCCTAAGTTTAATACTTTTTATTATTGTGCTCATGTTGCCTACACTGTCTTCATTAACTGCAGTATCATAATAATCTTCATTTGTTTTTATTTTGTTTCTAGTCAGCATCAGTTTCTTTTCCAACTTCTAATTCCTTTGTAATTTCAATTAGTGATTCCCCGTCATCATAGCATAAAACAAACTTGAAGTTTCTACTCTGTTGTCACAGATATTTTTTCCTGTTTTATTATCATTTAAATAAACAAACATGATAGGGACATAAGAACAACAAAACACAATCCTTCTTTATCATAACCAACTCAAGTCAAACCCTCCTTTAATAAATTATTTTCGTACTTACAACTCTATAACTTTAATTTTTAGCTTACTAAATTTTATGGGTGATAAATATTCAGGACCCAATCATTACAAATTTTTTTTTTATTTGTGCCGACGTTTCAACCCAAACATGTGGGTCATCATCAGTGCTCGAACCATGCCCTGATGATGACCCACATGTTTGGGTTGAAAAATCGGCACAAATAAAAAAAACTTTTATAATGGCAGCGCCCTGAATATTTATCACCCATGATATGTAGAGCAGTCTACTAGCTTCCTTCAATAACTTACTAAATTTTAATTACTTATTTAATAGCCCCGCTGAGATCACCGAATGTCTGGACAATCGGGGTCCAGATTTGTGGGACTCTAATGCACTACTTGTTAGCCATATAATAAGGTTTCTTTGGTTTGAGAATTATTTTTAGATCTTTTAGCCATTTGATTGATGGCGACAGGGGTATGATGCAACCTGTCTGGTCTTAAATGTTTTGATTGTGGAATTTTACTTTTTAGACAATCCTGATTACTATATACAGATAATTGTTCTTCTTTTTCATTGTTTCTAACAATAAGGATTTAGGAAAATCTTGGCTTAATGAAGATTACTGACTGTTTTAAAATGTAATAATCATGTTCTAGAGTATTAACAGATACAGAAGATTTTATCAATGGAACCACCATATTAAATATTAAAAAGTAATAGAGTTTAAGAAAGTTTTTATTTACATTAAGATAATCATATCCATTTAGCCAATGTTTGCCTTTCTAAAAGGATCAGTGTTAACTGTGATATCTAAATCATTTCACTCTGTGTACTACATTATCATTATTTAGCTCTTCAAAAAAGTTGATAAGTAGATCCATTTCCAACAGGCTTATGTTAAAATCTTTTGTAAGATTAACGTTTTCTGGCTAAAACTGGAATTCCTTTCATTTTTAAAGATGGTACTGCTTGAATAGAACTATTGCAGCTGATACTAATTTAGCAACACCCTCCTTACCAATTAAAGTTATTGGAAAAGTAATGAAATTGATAGATCATTAGTTCCAAAAGTTTAATCAATTCGGACAAAGTGTCCTCTAATATTTATCAATTTAAAAGAATACATATGTTTTGCATGTACACGTTTAACATTATTTAAATTGCTTTTCAGGACCTTCAAGTGATAATGGCAATCATTTTATAGGTTTCACTGTTACATTATTATTCTTATTTTCATTTTAAATTAGTTTTTTTTTGGATTTTTTTTATATATACTATTTGTACAAATTACAATTAAAGAAATGTATGATTAGTATCGGTATAGTAAGGTTATTTTCTTAGTTGTGTAAATATGTAAATACACTTTTTGGATGTGTGAATGTTTAAAATTGATGTTTAATAAATTGAAGGATGTTTCTGTTAGTTTATATTTATTTCCTTATGCCTCCTTGTGTGTTATTGTTTATTAGATTCAAGTTCTATTCCCTTTTTACTTTCACTTACCTTTCTATGAAATATATAGTAAAAGAAAGTATTGTGATCATGAAAATTTTTGAATCTCATTTTTCAACAGAAATACGCATTTTGAGGATCCCTGAGTCCAAAAAAATAAAGTCCCCCAAAATGGTCTCTGTGAGTGTGTCTGTAAACAGTATAATTCAAAAACAAAAAGTCGTACAAAAGTGAAATTTCATATTTAAGGTTTTTGAATGCTAGGGATGTTATAGCAACTTTTTCGTCAAAATTGACTGACCGGAAGTGGAACTTTATATCATGGGCTAAACACATTTTTATAATTTTCTCGGAAACGGCTCTAACGATTTTGAATAAATTTATTATATCAGTGTAAAAATAGGCAGTTTTAAATAAAATGTAATTTTTTTCTGATTGATGTTCTCTGACAGGGCTTAAATGGGTAATTTTCAATATTAGCTTCCTCTAAAGTACCTTTAATTTGTTTTATTTGAAAAAATTGACTATTTCACATTAATCTCTAATATAAAAGATAGTTAAATATGAAATAACTTGATAATTAACTAAAGGAGAAATAAAAAATTTTAACAGAGAATAGTTGTGATTGATCTCACCCGAAAGATTATAACAGGCTTCCATACATAACATGAGCTTAATACAATATGGACTCCAACAATATTATATAAATATGTATAAGCGGTTTTCATAAATTTTATTGTTGGTATTATTTAATATTTGATTGTATAGATTACACCGATATAAATATTAAAATTTGTATATATAAGGGTACTTATACAAATAAAAATACCCAAAATGAAATATAAATAATTATAGCGTCTAAAATTTTTACTTTCACTTCTCCACTGTCTGAAAATAGTTATTTCTACTAAGAAGAGGTGGTAAATGGAAGTTGTGTGATGCACACACCACACGAGATTTTTTTATCTATAGTTGCTATAAATTATTAACTTACATTATGTTGGTTTGATTATAATTTTTACATTAGTTTACTATCTAAAAATTTGTATAAAAGTAAGAATTTTCTATACCTAGACTTAACGCTTGGAGGAGCCAAAGAAGATACTGGAAAGATAAGGGGGTACCGGCAACCATTAGGACCCTACTATATTTTACAATTTTTCTCCATGCCATCGTTGGATTGCTGACATGAGTCGTCTTACAGATGGGCTGGGCTACCCTCGATTACTGAGAAACCTATGTATATCCAGCCAGTTGTATAATGTATATGGCAAAGACATCACCACCTGGGTTAGCCAACAGCAGGAATTGCTGCCAAGCTATCAACTCAGAAGAAATCTCATATGTGAAAACATAACCATTGTAAAGAATTCGCCAATCATCTGATCAAAGACACTCAGTGTGAGCCAAACTCAACATTGGTTCTTCACAAGGCTTGTAGAAGCATTGGATGATATAGGTAATGCTGCTTCCACAGAGCCTTGCGGGGCAATTGTTCCTTTTTATTGTCATTTAGTCATATCTATTCTTTATAGGTTGTGAAATGCCACTTTCATAGACATTCCCTCAATCTGTATCCCAGTGCTTCTAAAACTGCATACTTCAAGAAATAGGCAATGCTGTCACTTTCTAAGGCCTCCATATTCCGACAGTATACTCCACCTTCACGGTCAATTTTGTTAAATGAACTAACTTGAAGGGAGTTCCCTATTTCAGTAGTAAATCTTTTTTCTAATAATTGTATCATATGTCTTCTTAAAATCAATAAAGAGGTGGTCATGGTAATATTGTATTCTCTTGCTTTCTATAGGATAAGTCTTATTGAAAAGTGACACATAGTTCCTTGATCTCTCATGAATCCTCTCTGCTATAGCAAACTTCTGTATGCTTTATAGTTGTTAGAATGGAGATTTTCCTTGGTAATTCTTACACTCCAGTATGTCATCTTTTAAATGTATGGAACATCTGACATCAAGTACCAATCATCTGACATTTGTTCAATTGCCCTTATATATGTCACAAGATCATACAGAAACTTTCCTCCATGCTACAAGAGTTCTCCGTGAATACCCTCTGATCCTGGTCACATATTATTTGTAAGGTGGTCTATTACTTTGTGTGCCTCCTCAAAGTCCCTCCCCTTGGTATCTTTACCAGGCTCAAACAATTATGACATTTTTATTCAATAATGCTAAAATAACCACTTCAGCATTTCCAGTTCATCATTAAGAAGTGTGTCATAGAGAAAATAAAAGAAATTACAATACTTTGCGATGTTTTTTCTTATATTAGAAATAATTAGATATAACTCACAAAAACTAAAGTTTTGTTGAATAACAAAGAATCATAACTATATAAAATTAAAGCACTATTATGTTATAAATAAAATATTTGTGTTTGTTTCAGCAGTATTTTGTCAAATCAGTGAGGTTTGATTTATTTCACTTTTGACCATATGATAAATAAAGAGTTCCAACTAGAATAAATTAAAACCATGCCAGAATATAAAACACTGGGGATTAATAACAAACATTAGATATATTTACAAGTAAAGTTATTTTAAGATTTAAAATAATTTAATGACAAAATTTACTTTGATCCTATAATTAAAGTTCATTCACACTAAATAATTAGAATCTAATTTTTTTTTTATATATATTTACATTTTTTGGTGTTCTGTTTTTTTTTTGTTTTTTTTCCAGTTATCAATGCACAAGTCTATTAATGATAAATATTCAAAAGTTCTTTAAAGCAAATTAATAATCTGGAACTACTCCATCACTGTAGGAGAAATATTTATATTGTAATGATTAATTGGTGAGCATCAGATAGTTAACATAATAAAAATATCACTACTTATCAGGTTCACAATATAATTCAATACATATCTTTTCAGTTGAAATGCCAACAACATTATGTGAACATTAATACGTTCTTGTATGTAATTCAGCAGAAACATAAAATAATCTTTTATACATTTATGTTTACATTATTTCATTTACTTTGGTCAATGATAAATTATACCTTTTTAGCTTTAAAAAATACAAATTGAATTTAAATCGGTTTACAGATTTAAAATTTTTCAATGGATCGCATGGAAGCTAAATTTTGCAATTTTAAAATAAACTTATGCTTAGTAACATAAATTAACGCTGAAAATCTATCAACACATTCCAGTAATAAAACTAATCATTATAATATTTACACAATTACATTTGTTTGTTCTTGGTTCTGAACCTAAGACAACTTATGAAATGCCCCTATGAAGTTACTTCTTCATGTGAGCTACCAAATTCTAATTTAACATCTTCATGCATTCCTTCAACATCAACTTCAGATTCTGGAGCGTTCAACATATTCAATGTAACTTCAGAAGATTTTCCTAACATTCCTTGTGATTGTGATGAAACAATTTGTCTCACAGGAATTCCAGCATCTTCAAAAGCCTTTTTCTTCAATGTGGTTCGAATCTGCGAACTAAATAAAAAAATTATAGAGTTATAATGGAAATATATCAATCAAAATTGACACACCTTAATGGGAAAAGTCTACATTTAATTATAATAACAAACCCATTACGGATTGATAATTGTTCAAAGGAATGCCCAAAATAGACTTAACATGCATCACGATAAGTATTCTTCTAAGAAAAAAAGTAATACTATTTTTATTTCATTGTTTCACTTTAAATGCTTTTTTGCACATAAAGTACATATTCAAAACTGCACTTAAATTAATAACTTACACAGTCTTTCTTTTGATGTGGTCGCTGACCAGATTCAGGTCTTCATTAAACTTAAGTATTGCAGATTGAAGCATATCTATATCTTCTTCAGTCCACTTTCCCCTAATGAGTATTCAAAAAGCAAATTATATACATAAGGTGTGTCAATAAAAAATTGTTTTTCCATTATTAGATAAAAAGCTGGGCATACCCTGATGGAGAATCAGCAGTGGGATGAAGTTGTAATGTAAGCTCTGCCAACTTATTAAAAGCGGCTCCAGCTGCAGTAAATATCTCCCCAACCTTAAAAATAAATACCTATGTCTTCAAATTCATAACTATGAAATATAAGAATCAAAATACAGAAAATATAGTATACTGCAGTATCTCTACTGCTAAGTAATCTAACTGACCTTACTTGCTGAATTCATCGTCATTTATATTTGTTATCTTGAAAAGTAATACTGTCCCAAATCCCCAAAGTCGGTGAATGCTTTTCAATTTGAAAACATTAGATGACGCTCTAAAACTTCTTATTAAAGTAACGTGTACAACGAAGTAGAAAAAAATAAATATTGAATATTCCTAAATTTAAAATGAATACTTTTCAGCTTATTGTAAATTATTAATTACGTATGAATTTCCATTTATTATTTCATGAACTTATGTTCATTACACAATTAGAAACAAAAGTATATATACACCTAAAAATTATACAGAGTCCATTGTTTTCTTTTAAAGCCGGTATACTTCGAGTTATTGAGTTGATGGAAAAATTGTTCACATTTTTTGCTTTTAGGCTCTTTTTCTTAAATTGCTTCGTTCACATACTTCTCAGCAATCGTTATCCAATCAATAAATGCTAGTTCACCTTCCCCACTTCTTCTTTTCTTGGCGCTGTGGCCCACGAAGGGCCTTGGTTCCCTCAACAATTTTCCTTCACTCAGACCGGTTCTCTACCGCTTCTCCCCACTTTCTCATACCCAGTGACTTTAGGTCTTCCTCTACATCATCCGTCCCTGTAGTCTAGGCCTACCTCTTCCTCTTTCTCCACCTAGACGCCCTTCCATGATTTGCTGTGGGAGTCTTTTTTGATCTATCCAATAAACATGACCCAGCCATCTTATTCTCTCCCTTTTTAATGCAAGAAACTGTATCCGATTCCCCATATAGCTCCTTAAGTTCTGCATTGGTTTTTGCAATTGGTTGCAGTGAATCCTTCTTTGGTGAGGCCGTATAATCTCCTCTGAACCTTTCTCTCTCATGTACTCAACGACTTCTCTTGTTACTTGGTCAGAGTTCACGCCTGACTACCATACATGACAATAAGACGAGCATTCGTTTTATATACTCTTATTTCACCTACTCCACTGGCCGTCATATCGTGCCCAACAAATTCCTTGGACAATTCATTGGCCCAACGATTTCCTTGGCGAGCTGTCTTCCTGTGACATATTCGTATTGTTGCAAGCGACCAACTAACATGAGAGTAGGGGATATAGCTGTTTTTCTGTAAGTTCCATTTTATAAACCCACAAAGCCGCCAGAATACCCATCCCCTTATCGTCCTACCTCTCTTTTACCCATTATGGTCAAAATCACAGAAAAACTCTTCTTAAAACGCCTATATCCCATTCTAGATTCTAATCTCATAATCCTAGAACTCCAATTTGGATTTCGTACATCTCACTCCACTATTCAGCAATGTCATCCTGTGGTAGACGTAGTTTCCTCAGCATTGGAGCGCGGAATGTATTGCAAGGGAGCCCTTCTCGACGTTGAGCAGGCGTTCGATAGAATCTGGCACCCGGGACTGATGTCCAAACTCCGCAAATTCTTATCAACTACATACTTCCCCATTATCCGCCCCTACCTTAGTAATTGATACATCAAAGTAAATCACAAAAATGCCTATTCATCTATTTTTTTCACAGTTTGTTAGTATTCCTCAAGGTAGTATCCTAGGTCCTATCCTTTACAAAGTATACACAGCTGACATTCCAACCCATCCCAACATTGTCAATACTTATGCCGATGATATTTGTTTGCTATCAGTTAACAAGGATCCATCAATTGCATCCCAAACTCTCCAATCACACTTCTTGAAGAATGGTGTCAAAACTGGAGGATTAAAATAGATTCCAATAAATCCCATCAAATTACTTTTATCTTTCGTCACAAACCTATGACTTTCTTTGACAATATCCCACTTATCTCTGTTGAGCAAATCCGATACCTAGAACAAAACCTGGACAAATGACTCACTTGGAATTCTCATACCAAACTGAAACGACAAGAAACCACACGACATTTTTGACTACTCCAGCACTTACTAGCCAAACGCTGAAAACTTGCAATTACTTACAAAAGACTTATATATATGACTATAATAAGGCCTATTTGGACTTACGGAATCGAGCTTTGGGGCTGTACCAAACAATCGAATTCCTCTCGTATTCAATCCTTACAGTCCAAAATCATTCGTAAAATCTTCAATGCACCCTACTTTGTCACAAATAAAATCATCCATAACGACCTTAATGTACCTTAAGTTTCCGATTTAGCCCAATACAGATATCTATCCTTCCATAATAAACTCCTGAACCATCCAAACCTTCTTGTTTCCAATCTTGCTCCCTCTTCTATTCCTGATAACCCTCCGAGGCGTCTGAAAAGAAAACGGCCACGGGACCTTCTAATATAGAAGTAGAACTATAATTTGAGTTTTACCAATGGGTAGTTTCTCTTCATGTTACCAATGTCACATTTACTTGTTGTATTTTTCATGTAATACAGTTATAAATCTCATTAAAAAAAAGTTTATTCTGACCATGGCGATCACATAGACGGGTGTTCTGCAAATGCCACAATTTTCATAGCGGTCGAAATTACGGTCTGGATCATTCGTTGGTGCTTCTATTTCGTTGATCATTTGAATTCTAAGCAAAATACTTGCAGATCAGCTTAACTAACTCCTCTTAAGACTCCAGTGACGGAGGAGGAATATCGTTCTCCAAATATCAACGTCGTCACCTTAGAATTGAAGACGATTAAATTAAGGAAGAGTCTGAGTCTACGATTTACTCATGAAAAAAGAAAAATGTTTTTCATGGTCATCCCAACCCCTGGTGCGGTCTGGAAATGCGACAAAACACATTGTAATAAAACTGCGATCCGGGCCGAGAATGGTGAAATACCCAATTATCGTTAACTCATCATTGTCAGCTATTTCAGAATATAAAGCTTTTGGAATGGTTTAGAAATGTCGAAAGAGGCACTTTTGAAGCGTGAATCTCTTCTACACCATATTTTTATAGTAAAAAAAGAATAGAAAGATGGCATATAATTAATGAGTTTAACTGAGAAAGAAGAGGCATAAGATCGAGAAGTATACACAGAATGAATTTAAAAAAATGCTTGATTTTTCCCATAGTTTTTTAACATTCAATAATTTGAAATTGTTATGGAATAATTAAGAATAAACATCAAGAGAAATGATATACAAATTACTTAGTTACAACTAATGTTTCTGGCCCATTTTATATCAAATTATAAAAACACAACTTCCTTTCTTTCTGGCACTAAGAGATTAATATAATTTTTCTTCTAGAAGTCACCTTATGCATTAAGAATGTAACAGATAGTCGAAATGATTGCCACTATACTTACATAACACCAATATTCACTCTCAACAGATAAAAGAATTCACCATAGTCCTCAGTCTATTCTTGCAAGTAAAAGTCGTGAAAATACCAAATAAAAAGCGAATCCGAAAATACTGAAAATGTCCAATAAAAAGTGAATCTTGCCAAGGCTGCTCTTAAACTGTCTGTGAATATAAACAGTAAAACGTAAAGTATTTATTTATCAACCGTTAAAAATTATATGGATTTTTCAGGTGTTCAAAATTATTATTAATGTAGTATTAATTAGGTTCTATTTATTAAGTAGAAAAAAAAACTGAATTTTGGTATCACTGATAATTTTAGTCTCTGAAACCTTCCATTAGGTTACATTAATCGGCTGAACTGTCATCGAGTTTTGTTAAACAAGATCTTTATTATTAATTCATTATTATTTGAACTAAAAAGAGTTTTCATTGTGCTTTTATAACTTTAAAAGGTAATTTTATTACATTGCTTGTGGATGACAACTTAAACTGTATGGTGTGCTTTTGTTAACCAGTTGTGCAATTTTGAATCAACTCTGTTAATGAGTATTATATTCATGTCTGGTAATTTATGAGTGTGTTTGATTTTTTAATTCAGTTTATTGCTTTGATTCAAAGAATATGTGAACACATGATTCATTTTTTAATGTTAATGAAATTTAGCTGTTATCAAATTTTGTGTTGTCATTAAGATTCATGGAGAAAAAAAAATCTAAATCAATACTGTTCAGTTCACTCTTGAGCTAAGGTTTTTATGTTAACATATTTCTTCATTTCCAAATGGATTTAAATATTTCATATTGTTACTTCCAATATGTCTAGATCAATGCTTGCTGCAAGATTTGTTGTGGGTGGACTGACATCCCCCATGTTGAGATGTTCTTTTACAAAGGTTAATGCAGTTGCAAAACCAAACACTTTTAGAAGTGGCTCATGGCGGCAATTCGCAGAAGATGCTCGGGAGACCAAAACATGGGGTCGAAGAAGAAGAAGTTTAAAAGAAATGGCAATGGAGCCAGCTGGTGAAACTTGTGAGTTTTATTTTGTGTGTTACCATGATATCTTGATTTTATAACAATTACCAACATTATGAGAAGAGGTAAAAATTCTTTGAGATTCATCATTGATTGTAGCTGATAAGACAATGTTTAATGTAACTTTGTATAGAAAATTGATGTAGTGATATTAATGTAAGATTACTGATTTTAAACATTGTTTCAATTTGGTCCTATACATTTTCGTAGAATTTTACTTACCTGTTTTATCATATTAATTATTACTGATACTTGGCACTGAATGATAGTTGTATATGTAATTTTAAACTGGCTTTTATGCAAGATAAATCTAGCTTTTTTTAAATATTGCAATCAAAGTTCATCTGGAGTATCCTGTTTTTTTCTTCACAAACATCCAACTCTTGGTAGTTAGTAAATTAACCTGCCATATTAGAAAGGAATGTTTTATTTAATTATGCTCAATGGTTACATTATATCATGTCAGAACTAATTGAGCCATGATTACTTCTTTTTATGTGTAAATAATAACATAAACCGATTCATCTTAATATCTGTCACTGATTTGCCAAAGATTTCACCATTCAGGAAATATATTTTGTATATTTAGAGTACAATTACAAAAATTATAACAGTCTGACTTTAATGCTTTTTAATTTTTTTTTTTAACAGATTTTAAATTAATTAATGTTAAAAATGGTAATTGGTATTAATTATAGTGGATTGTTATAATATTGAAATAAATATAATATATAGAATCATATCCTGACAATCATTATTATTTTATTATGTGCATTTTTCTGTACATATTTCATTTTTACATGCATTTTCTCAAATGTATCAATTGGGAGGAGGGAGGAGGAGAATTGCCATTTAATTATTATAAGCTTATTCTATTTATGTATTTTTTCTATATATATTTGCGTCTTTGGCAGGTTAGCCCCAATAGTTATTTATAATAAGGAAAATTATCAGTTATATTTAAATTAATGTTGTTATTCTGTTATACCAACATCTGTTAGAAGATTCATTTAGTTAGCTAAATGAGCTCCTATAGTTTATACTCCAGTTTGAATAACAATGAGAGGGAAGCCTTTAATTATCAGGACCTGGAATTATCCATAAAGAGGGCTTCTGCAATAAAGGACTCCTATTGAAGCTTGTAGAATGAAATGGTGCTTAAGATAAGTTGAGTCTTTTGTAGAAATGGGAAGGAATACTTTTAATGTATGGTTATTATGTAGTATGGATATTATGTATTATGGAGCATACAGGATTACATTTAATTAGTTTCATATTATTTATTTAAAATGTGAATTATAATAATTGTGAGAAGGAGTTAGTCGAGGGTGCGGTCAAATAAATAAAAAAATTAAAATATATAAATAATTTTAATTTTTGCTGACGTTTCGACCCACTTTGCAGGTCGTCTTCAGGGCGTAGGATGTGGCACTGCGGGAGGCAGTTGAAACACTGGAGAATTGCAGTGTTTCAACTGCCTCCCGCAGTGCCACATCCTACGCCCTGAAGACGACCTGCAAAGTGGGTCGAAATGTCGGCAAAAATTAAAATTATTTATATATTTTAATTTTTTTATTTATTTGACCGCACCCTCGACTAACTCCTTCTCATATCATATCAACGGTCAACCATCTCTACATCATTATAATAATTGTGATTAAAGCTTTCGATACTATGTATTTTTCTTTAATCACGTAAAATAACAGCTTACTATTAAAAAAGAACTGGTGGGGCTAATCTGCAGAAGACCCCTCCCTTATATGTTTTCCATTTGTATTCTATTATTATTTCTAATCTGCATTTCTCCAATTCTCATCTGTGGGGAGGGGGATTTCAATTTAATTTTATTGGTTTATTTTATTTAATTACGTCTTTTTTCTGGCCCATTTTTGGAATTTATCACCTGATAAATATTTTTCTTCATTAGAAAAGCGGGATCATAACCGTACCCAATTAACTTATATATAACAATATGCTGTTACTTTCGCCATTTCTCGAGTACCTGAGAATAGCCTTCTCTGGGTAAAACGGTGCCATCTTGGAGTAGCAAAGTGGAACTAGTACCTTTTTTAAAAGTTAATATATTTACAATAAGAGTTTTATTGCTCTAGACTGCTTATAATTTAATTTAGTTTAAATCATATATAATCAGAGCACTTCTTAATGTAACATAATTGTCGTTTTAATGAGTAAGCATACAAACAGAAGTAGATTCAGTATTTCTATCAATTGTCATGTCTATATAATGCGTGGCCAAGATCACATGACCACATAGTACACGGTATGCCAAAAGTAGGAAAGTTAATCTGAAACAGTTTAATGACAACCGATCTAGACTCTTACTTACCCGAAATTTAAGGAGATATAATTTTAAGTAATAATCTTCACTTCTTCTCATTAATAAATTTTGTACTAAATTCACTAGTATTGATTTATATTGATTTGTAGGCACTATGTCTCATGATCACCATTAATTGATTTCCAAGAATGGCAGATTATTGAAGTGTTTGGGTGCATAACCTTCCTTCATTTATGTCGTGATTAACAAATTCCCCAGATTTCCAACTGATCCTTTTCTTTCTTAAAATCTGATCTTAATTTGGCTTTAATAACCTAGCTACTTTCTAATTCTGCTTCTTGTACTTGTTCAAAACGGATTTAAAAACTCCAACAGGTCATTTTGAGTTGTTAGGCCTTACCAGAGGGTTTGATCACCTTCATCTACTTTCAGACACACCCCCAGTTTTGGAACAGTATGATCATGAAATCTTTATATATAAAAAATTATATATATATAAGCATAATTGAGTTGTTATAAACTTTATTTGTTATAAATTTTTTGAGCGATGGAAATTTCAATATCAAAGAATTATAAGGCTACTTCAAGATATTATTTATTATTTTTTGTAAATAAACCACTATATATAACCTAACCTGACTTAAAAATCAGTGTCATCACAGGATGGTATTAGTGGACATTTTGGGTATTTTCTGACTATTCAATTGAAGAAGTGATTTTGGTCCACCCGCCATCTAGAAATGACACTTGTACCATTAATTGTGATGTGACAATAGTACCGTAGGTTCTAACAAGAAAGAACAGAGAACAATTTTCTGGAATAAATCCGTTTTTCTAGGATTTTAATATGTTAGCTGGATATTTAGAATTTGATGGAGAAAAAAAGCCCAATTTTTTTAGATTATTAAGTGAGAAGCTGTATTGTATTGGAGAAGATTCTTGGATCTCTAGTATGCAGATAATTCAGTCAAGGATGGATATTTAAGGGGAGGAGTATTTATGCTAAACTGTAGAAGGATCCTTGCCATGGGATCATTCCCAATAGTCTTCCAAACTGAAATATAGACTTTAGAAATAGCTGATCTAATAATAATAATAACAACAAAAAGCTTAGCGAACCCGAACGTTCTCCCACCTTCGCTTTGGTCTACCCCTGTGATGTTAACCAGTCAGTACTGTGCATATTTATCTCTTAGGAATTCTTTCATTACTAATCCCAACAATTTTATTAGCCCTTTGTTATTAGCAATAAAAATGTCTAAATATATAACAAATAGTTTATGTGCTATTCATTCCATGGTTAGGTTTTGGGAAAATATTTTTTCGATCGGATATTCTGTTTATTAATGTAATTTTGAACCAACATTCCTGAAGTGTGGATAGTGATCTAATCTTAATTAGAAACCCGGTGCCTAAATAATGATTTCCGCTCCCTCTGTACAAAATAGTATACTTCTCTTCTCATATCGAGCCTTCCCCTGGTCAGGAAATCTCTTGTAGGGCCACAATATCCAAATTGTACCCATTAATCTCGTTCAAGGCAGATTTTAACCCATCTTTTAAGTTCAAAATCCTGATATTCCACATCCCTAATTTTCATATTTTATTTAATTTTTATATTTGAATCCCTAATTTTCAACTTGAGCGTTTAATGTTAGGGAGATCCATGACTATTTGCGGTGTATGCTGAACTAATGATATGTGTGTAGGGCCTAGATCAAACCTTCCAGCAAGCCTGGAGGGCCATTGTTGGTCAGCGAGTCTATTGGACTTAGCCGGTAGGAACTTCCCATTGCTATAACTGCCCCTTGTCAGATGCTCCACTATGTGGTTATGAGAAGAAGAAGGAGGAATAGTTGTGCCAAACTGCAGAAGGATCCTTGCTGTGAGATCATACCCACTAGTCTCTCAAACTGAAATACGGGCTATAGAAATAGCTTATCCGTAGAGTTTAAATAAAAGCTCAAAGTCAAAAATTATATATATGATATCAGACAGCCAAAGAGTATATAATGTCTTTAATACCTACATAATCATGCCATGGTTAGCCTGGAATTGCCTTAATGCCCTAAAGCAAACAGTTAAGAACTATAGAATTACTTGAATGTGGAGTCTGGAACAAGAAAGAACAGAAGGAAATGAAATGACTTATGCCTTTGGAAGAAAGGACTCATTTGCCCTAATCACTGCTATAGCATATCTAGTAGCCTAAACAGGAATTAAATTAATTCCTGAAAGAAAAGAAAGAACAGAGAAGAACACATAGCATATCTAGTAGCCTAACCAGGAATTAAGTTAATTTCTGGTTGATAAAGCAGGAAAGGCCTCAAACTTGGTATGAAGCAGCCTAAACCCTTCATTACTGTATCAGACAAATACAAAAATTCTTATTAAAAAAAAAAAAAAAATGGCATTACTATAAATGCAGTCTAAACACTGTGACTGCCAGCTCTGAAGTAACTCTCTTACTATCATGCATTATTGTTTAATAAGCCAACTAGGAGTTATCTTCTATTAACATATAGTTGCCTTCTGAAATAAAGTTTCTGTTACAAAGTCAACTACAAAATTATTCCCTAGATCTTTTTTTTTTTACACATTCTGTTTGTTTTTCTTATTATTATGTACTGTAATTAGAGTTTATCATATAATATTATGTTATTTAAAGTTTACATTTTAATATAATATGATTAAATTAAATTAATGTTTTAAACTAAAATCTTAAAAAATGCCATGGCAGTCAATTTTTAAACAAATCATCTTGAAATGTTTATGACCCTAATGTCATAGTTTTTGTTTTATTCTAGCATTTCAAATTGGGAAGGCAGCAGTGGCAGGAGGTGCATTATGTGGAATTGGAGCTCTTTGTTACTATGGTCTTGGTTTAGCCAACAAGCCTGGTATTGTAGACCAGTCAATGTTAGTATTTAACTTTACATGATTTAAAATTATGTACTTATAAATATTTATATTGTTTTTATATTTTTGGGGTAGAATTCGTTATTTTAATACCTAGTCATGTCATAAATATTGTTACAAGGAAATATATACAGATTTCAACAGAAAAATTAATTTTTTCAAAATCTTTATTAGAAAATAAAATGAATATCTATAGAGAGTAAAAAAAAAAAATTATTCAAAATGGCCCCCTTTTGCCTTGAAATAGGCATTTAATCTCCGTGCAAAGGCCTTATCAATAGCAACACATAGCACTTCTTGAGGGAACCGCTCAACTGCTCGGACCAGAGATTGTTTGAGGCTTTCCGAGTTAGGATGTGCTCTGTGGAATGCCATCCTCTCCAGTTCGGACCAAAGCCGATGATCTAGTGAGTTGAGATCAGGGATTCCTGAGGGGCAATCCGAGACAGAAATCAACTCTGGAATGTTCTTCTGCAGCCACTGCTGAATTGACCGACCTGGTCTTGTGAGCTGGAGCGGAATCCTACTGAAAAACCCAATGATTTCCAGCAAACAGAGTATTATTTAGAGGCTTGACCACAGGTTTCAAAATATCATCCTGATAGTTTTTGCGGCTGTTTTAACTCCTTTTTCACAAAACTGAAGCTTTGTGGTGCCATCAAAGCAAACTCCACACCAAACCATTACTGAGGAAGGGTGATGACCTATTTCCACTCTTCCAATGACTTCCTGGGCTTCTTTAGAGCTGTGTGCGTACACATGATCATTTTGGCGATTAAATATTTCTTCAATTGTAAAAATTTTCTCATCACTAAACAAAATCTTACGATGAAGACCATTGGTGTAACAGCCAATGAGCACTTTGCATCTATCCACACTAATTTTTTTTAGGGAAGTGGTTAGCCTTCATCCTGTCATTCTTCGAAATTCTCCCATCCTAAGATCACTTTTTATTTTGCGAGACATTGATCTGACAGAGATTCCAATTTCCTGAGGCATGATTTGTTGTTTTCGAATGGGATCTCTTCTGATTTGAGCAGCCACTGCTCTCACTGCATTTGCTGTTCTCACAGTGCAGGGATGACCCAGTCGAAGTCTGTCACATACAGATAGGATCTCATTATATCTATTTATAGTGCAGTACACAAACCACAAACATAAAGCTTTTTTTTTTTTTCTTTGCTTTAGGGCACTGCAGCTCATTTAGATAACTAAATAATACCCAAAGATGTAAACAAAGTTCAACTTTTGTAACAGTATTCATGGCAGAACTAGGTATATTGGCTGTGGATTTTAAACAAAAAAATATTTCAATTTTTTTTTTAATCTTTACCACTTCAATTTTTTTCTCAAGAATTTACTTAACTTCCTCCTATTATATACCTCTGTTGTCTAAATTTTGATTGTTGAGAACTAAGGCTGTTCATAGAAAAAGTTATGAACTGGATATTAATAAAGCGAAATATTTAAAAACAACAGTGCCATTTATTTTTTTACTACCAAAGAAAGAAATAAAACAAAACAATAGTGATGATATATCGTTAAATGAATTATATTCAAATAATTCATTTATACTTTTGAACTTCCCATCTATAAAATAAAATCTTGTTAGATTTTTAATGTACATATATTTAAGAAAAAAATTGTAAAAACTTTTAAATTAAAATTTGCCTATCTGCAGCATACCACGTAAAACAATAATGATTAAAAAAAAAAATTAATGAATTTTCTCAAAGTTTATATTATCTACAATTAATTATTGGATATATATTAAATTAAATATTCAATATTTAATTGAAAACTAGTCGATCTGTAGCAGGCAACTGTAAAACTGTTGTTTTTAACTGTACCCTGAACCAGGTTCTCAGTTCTTACTGTTACTTTTCTATGAAAGCATGTACATTTGCCTGATAGGTAACAATAGTTACTGTTTAATAGCTATTGTGGTGTTTCTTCACGGATGAAAAACAAATAATAATTTGTAAGTTTGGCAAGCTCACAGTTCTTCAGATCAAGCCATCTATCAACCCCAAACAGCCTTTGCCTAGCCCCTGTGAACCTGTCGCACTAACAAATGATGTGATAAACCTTTTCAAACAGTACCTACACAAAGGTGATGCTGTTAACTTGACTTTGAACGTATGATAGTTCAATTTGAAGTGATCCTTATTTATTGTTGTAATTTTGCTGGTAGAGGCCTTGCTCATGTTGATCACAATATTGTACCTCCTTGCGCAGCATCCATCAAAGAACAGTCTAGAGTGAATCTAAAATGGTTTGTTGATGTCTGTAGGATGAGATATGACTGAATGGCTCACTGGCTGATAGAAGCAAGGCCAAAGAGAAAGCATTTACTAAGAGTATATGTTAGTATATGAAGAACTAACTAGCTGTAATGAATACTCAGAGCTTGGAAAAGAATTTGGTTGCCTTGTAGATTAACTCCAGTGAGTGGCTCTGGATAGAGGTGTTTACAAGGTGTTTTTTCTAACGTAATTTGTAATACAGTTTAGAGTTAAAATAAACCAATTAGTCTAACCAATGATTTTTTTTTTAATTCAAATTTTTTGTCTTGTTAATGTATGAAAACTTGTTCATTTGCTTATTTATAATTAAGTAATTGTATTATTTATAATTTTAAGTACAAATTATTTATAATTTGTTCTCACTTGGGAAAGAAATTCAGCAAATTGAAGGTTCATAAAAATAAATAAATAAGTTATAATTTCAGTGTCGGCTGAGAATAGTGGGAGGGAGAATCAAAGTATCAATTATTGTTTTGTATTTCTTCTATTATCTATTTTAGATAATTTTTAGTCTATGTGATCATATTTTAAATATTTATCTTGAAAAATAGCTTTTACTTGAAATATGTTTTATAGGGTATGGCCTGAATACGTCAAAGAGCGAATCAGGGCAACATATATGTACCTTGGTGGTTCACTAGCATTCACAGCAGCCAGTGCCGCTGCTGTATTTCGTTCCCCTGTTGCACTGAACCTAGTCAGTCGAGGAGGGTTTGTGGTAAGTTAATACAGAAAATAAGAAAAATGAATCTAGTAAGTTTTCTCTTCACTGGCATGTTAATGTATCAAAATGTATATAGTAAAGTTAAATCTCCTAGGTCTTAGTGCATAAAATATGTTTTATCATTAAGTTTAAGTTCATTCTGAAATTGTACCTCTATGATTTTTGTTGTTTTTTAGCTGTGCTTAAATGCAGATCTTGACAGTTTCTAACAACCTATATGTCGCCTTTAAGTTGTGAATAAAATGGTGGTTGTGGATACTTTTAAATCTTACTTTTATTGAATTCTTCTATGTCCTAATTTTCAGCAAAAAAAACTAAAATTATCTCATCATCATTGATTATAATTGTCTTATGGGTCGCTTACTTAATTTTGCCATTTGCTAATTACCAAAATATTGTTTCCTTATTTACAATATTGTGACTTGTTATGTTAATGTAATTTTTGATGCTGAATTACTTATTGGTATCAGTTTCTCAGATTTTTAATTGATAAATTTATAGTGGTTTAAATTTTTGAAATCGGTAGGAAATTTATGTGATTGTACATAATATAAATTGTATGCACTAAAATAGCAGCAATGCTAACTACAGAAAATATGAAATTATTTATTTTATACAAATCAAATTCTAAAAAAAAAAAAAAAAAAAGTTAATACTCTCGAAGGAGATATTGAGGAGGGTGGGGGGGGGACAAGAGGGAGATAGAGAGAGAGGAGCTAGTAATCAGAAAATTAAATTATGTTATAACTAATTATATTTTCACTTCCTTATATAAGTTATTTTATTGTTGTAGGCAATAGCAGTGAGCTTGGCAGCTTTAATTGGCACCGGAGAATTTTGTCGAAGTATCACTTACCAGCCTGGTTTTGGTCCTAAGCAAATGGCATGGATTCTGCACACCTCAGTTATGGGAGCAGTTATTGCCCCAATATGCCTGCTGGGAGGTCCCATTTTGATTAGAGCTGCTTGGTGAGAATAGGATTTATTTTTAATATATTATCTTATATATTATTTCTGAAATATATATTCCTTTTCCGGCTCTCAGGATGGATTTTGACTAATGAGGTATCAATAGAAAGGGAACATCACATAGAATGCCCAAATCGTAATTTTGATTCCTTATTTTATACCAGGACTTAAATAAAAGTAAATGTGAAAGTGGAAGATTTCAAACCATATGATGGTGCCATTTCAAAGAATCAAGACATTACAAATGAATTAATAATTTGCAAATAACTCAAAAAGTACGCAATGTTGGTGCATTATACATATGAGTATTTAAAAGCTTACTAACTAAATTACCTACAAAACGTTTAAAAAAAATCCATTGAAATTGGACGATTTGATGCAGAGTTACAGCGTTCTGAACATTTAGTATTTGTTGTTGTACTGCAACAATTCTGTTGCATATGGGAATTTAAGATTTTGGGAATTGGCCCTTTTTTTCCGGAGCACAGTAGATAATGCATCAGTTAGTAATTATTTTTTTAATTTCAAAATATTTTATTTTTTTAAATTAATTTTATTTTTATTTATATAAATGTGTCTTCCATAAAACACTTTTTGGAATGTTTGTCAGTGTGCATCAATTACTTTAGCTTTTTCTTTTAGATCTTTATTATTGAACTTTATCACTTTAAAAACACACTTTCGATTTTATTTTTATTTTTTTAATGATAAAGTAACATATATGCTGATTGCACTAACTATTTCTCCCTGAGAACTTGAGCCTTTTGTCTTTAGTCCTTATCAGATGTTTAAAGGAATGTTTAGAAACTGTTGTTAATTTGCAATTATCCAATGAAGAAAAAAGCTAATATTTAAATTTTAAGTTTAAGGAAACGCAATGGTTAAACGATGGTAGATTGTAAATCATATCAATCACTGATGGCTTACTAAATATATGTATTAAATCTTAGTATATCAAACATTATTGAATGGGAGTTGTGCCGAGCACTGAATGTATGAAAATCAGATACAAATATTAGGTTTGTGCGAAGTATTCGCGCGCAAGACAGCTAGTCTTGTTATTGTTAATTTAAATATACTCAAAGAATGGAACATCATTATTTAGTAACATCAAATTAAATGCAATGTTTTCGATAATACAATAATAAAAATTTAATTAATTGTTTTGATTAGTTAAAACATGCTCTTTAGTTTTTTTTTCAATAGAAACCAAAGAGTATGTTTTTTAATTGTCTTCTTTATTCAAGCTTGGAGTCAAAGAAGATAAATCTTAAAGTTATTTGTATCACATTTAAGTTTATGAAACATTGAGAAAATGAACTTGGAGCATGAGAGTCAAAAGTTTTATAAAAAAGAAGTTAACTGGTTTAGAAAAGGGTACCAGCCAAAGTTTACCTGGTATTAGAGGTAAAGAAAGTAAAATATTGGAAGATGAGGAAAATGTGATAAAAAGATGGATGGAACATTTTACAGAGTTATTAAATGTAACTAACGCAACTGTTCCAAATAGTAAAGATGATAGTGAAAATGGTAATAAAGGCTCCTCAATAAATATAGAAAACAAGATCAGGTGTGAAATACAAAATAAAATAATGGCCGGAAACAGGGCCTATTATGTGGACCTGAAACACCTCAGATTAAAGATTCTTTCTAGAAAGACAAAACTAAAGCTGTATAATGCTCTGATCAAGCCGATTGTCTCCTACGGGTCGGAAACTTGGTGCCTACCATCGACAGACTTTTAAAAACAGAGTTTTTGAGAGGCGAATTATAAGAAGGATGTACGGGGCTATACAGATTGCTGAAAAGTGGAGGATCAAGAGCAATGCAGAAATTGCAGCCATTCTGAATAACCAAGATATAGTTAATTATATAAAAGCAGGTAGACTGCAATGAGCAGGTCAAATTGCCAAAATGAACGAAGAGAGGGTTCCAGAAGAAGATGCTAGACATGGCCATCATTGAAAACAAGAGGAAGACTGAGGAGCCGTGGGAGGGATGAGGTAACGAGAGATGCTGTAAATTTAGGTGTTGTGAATTGGAGGAGCTGCCAAGGACCGTGACGGATGGAGGTATATAGTCCGGAAGGCCAAGGGTCACAAAGACTTGTAGAGCCGGGGAGTAAGTAAGAAAGTATCACATTTATGTATTGAAAAATGGATTTTTTATGAAAAGCCTCTGAGGTTTTGTAAACAGGTTATAGGTTACTATTGATACTGAAGAACTTCAGATTATTAATTTCAAACATTTTATAGGATCAATCTGAAATTGGCTAATCATTAACTAAGCAGGAGAATTATCTCTTAATAAACTTCAAAATTAAAATTCAACTTCAATTACTAGTCTACTAATTGTATTCACTTATATTAAGTCCAGATTAACATTAATAGTTCCAGATTAACATACATTAATCCTACTATCTTACATATAAAAAAAGGACACATATAAGACACTTTCACTAGAAACAAACTAAATTGTCCCTTTAATATTTACTTGATTATTAACAGAATATGCACATGAGTATAACAAACAAGAAGATATATATAAAAAAAGGGTAAAATAATTAAAAGTAATAAAAACTTAAGTACAGTTCAGCAGCAGGTACAGTTGGCTATTATATCTTGATTTACTAGTATTGTGAAACAATTTAGACATCAATCTCTACTCCTACGTCTAGACGATAGATGATGATGGTGAACTAGAGAATATCCAAAATTATCCCTGATAGACTTGGTCCAAAATGTTAGATTATCCCCGTTACTAAAAATAATTTAATATATCACTATAATTTACTGCTTTTGTAAATAATTGGATTATTAAATAAAAATTATCCTCACCGATACGACAGAAAGCCTCTCCTTGGACTTTTCAAGCGATTTTCTTTGGTATTCCTAATCGCATTACAGAATCACAATCACATTTTATTATAATCATTTACTAATGTTCTGCTTATATCACTCTCAAGTGGTTCAACATTAATAATTCTAACTTCAGAGCATATATTGAATGAACATTAGTCATCAAAAGTTGAATTTATGATTTTTATACATTCTATCTTTTAAAGGTATACGGCAGGAGTTGTTGGCAGTTTATCAGCAGTTGCTGCCTGTGCTCCAAGTGATAAGTTTTTGAATATGGGTGGACCACTTGCTATCGGTCTTGGAGCCGTTTTTGCTGCTTCATTAGGTAATTATGTATTTCCAATTTTTATTCTAATCTTTTACTATTGATTTCATAATATTAGTGTACTGATTGCTAATTTTATATTTTGGAAATGTGTGAACAACCCTTAAAAATATAATTATATTTAAATATTGGATGAATCCATAAGTTTGTTTGGATTTTGAAGGGTGAAATAAAAAAATTTTTTTTCATACAAAGAATACATTTTATGCAATAATATATTCATTGTCACCATTTTTATTAATGACCTCTTGCCATCTTCCTACCAATTTCATTATTCCGCTCTCGTAAAACAACTAGGCCTTAGAAGCGAAAAACTGATCGAGATACGTTTTCACATCTCTCATCAGCGAATGATTTCTCATTGAGGGAATTTTGGAGGGACCAGAATAAGAGGTAGTTGGATGGTGGAAGGTCTGGAGAATATGGTGGGTGTATTAAAACTTCCCAGCCAAGTAGCAATAACTTTTACTGTGTTTATTGCAGAGTGTTGTCTGATGTTCTCATGTCATGGTGAAATACAACACCTCTGCAATTGATTAGTTCTGGGCGTTTCTGTCTCAATGCTTGTTCCAATTTCGTTACCTGGGTGCAGCAGATCTTCAAATCAATCGTTTTTTCTTGTGGAAGCAACTTTTAAAACAGTATGCCACAATAATCTCACCATATGGAGAGCGAAATCTTGTTCAGATGTAGACCAGCCTTCGGGGTGGCATTAGATGGCTCGTCAGCAATTGTTCATGACCTTGTATGTACTGCATTGTCATAGATAATCCACTTTTTGTCATCCGTTACTATTCGTTTGAGAAATGTGTCCCTTTCATGCCGGTTCAGATGAGAGTTACAGATTGATATTGGGTTGCCCTGGTTTTCCAATATCTTCAGAACAAAACTTGGCATACCATTTTACAGCAGTATGTTCTGTTAAGGCATCCTCCTTATATACCTTACATATCTTTCGGTGCGGCTCTGAACCTCACTTGCCTTTTTTTAAATAAAAAATCAAAAATGCTCTTTTTCATTTGATGTATTTACTGTAACCCAAACAAAAATAATGCCAAAGAAACCAAACACATCAGTTTCAAAGACTTTAGCCTTTCTGATAAGTATCATTATTGTGAAATAAGCCAAAGAGAACTGGAAATATTTGAAAACAATTCACACTATTAACAAAAAGCAAATGAACTTATGGATCCACCCAATATAATCCAATAAATTAATTTAATGAGAAGTGTCTTGAATTTTTCAGGTGACAGCCCTGAGATCCTTGAATTTTTTCATCCTGTATCGTTATTGCATTCTAACAATGAAGTGCATTTAAAACTGTCATTTTAGGACTCCACTAAGATTCAGTAGAATGTGCCTACTTCTTTATTTTCTCAAAACCTCGACCGACACTTTCATCCACCACTTTTTTGTTAGTTGCGTCACCCTACTCATTTTCCTAAGTTTTGAAAAAAAAAAAAAAAAGTTTCGGTTAATGAATCACTTCGTTATTTGGCAGCACTCTTCTTTTTTTCATCCTTTTGGTTTACTATTTTCAATAATGAACCATTGTAATCTACGGAAAAATTCAAAAACTTAACACTCCATTTGTTCTACTGCAAAGTTTATTTCCTATGTTTTGGTTTGACTGAAGTATTTTGTTTTTACTTTAAAAATTACTAATGATAAAGTAAACTACTATTACTACATATAATGTTTTAATAATACTTAATTTAAAAATAAAAACATGAAAATATTTATTAAAATTATTTATTAATAAAATATGAAAATATTTTAAACACTTCAATGAAAATATTTATTAAAATTATTTATATATTTTAATTTTTTTTATTTTTTTTGACCGCACCCTCGACTAATTCCTTCTCATGAAAATATTTAATGCTACCAGCTAATAATTATATAATTAGTCATATATAAAATGGCAAACATGTTAAAAAATAAGAAATAAAATTAATTATGTTCAATTACAGAAAAATTAAGATAATTGATATAAATAGTTAACAACTAAGCTATGGTTACATCACAAATGACATCAATATTAAATATGATCAAATAGAAAAACATAAATGATTTATACCAACATCTAATAATTTTATTTTTATAGATAATTTTTAAGAATTGACCAACATAATAAATGACAATAGCTTTCAATAATAGATAATATTAAAACAAAATGAAATATTAATTTAATTAAAATAAGTCAAAACAAATCAAATTTAATCGTTTCCTTTTTTTCTATATTTGAAATTCGGTATACAAATTTACTTTCAAATCTCTCTAAGCATATATAACTCAGAGACTAGAGTTTCGTGGTTAAAAAAAACAAAAAAAAAAACAGATAAAGTTACACAATTTTTATTGCCTACCGTTGATGTAATAAATAGGGTTTATGTTGTTTTAATAGTCTTAATGAGCTGTTAAAGCTAAGCTATAATGTTTAAGTTTAGCTCCCTTAAAAATGCACCTCAAAAACTTTGTTATAGCCCTTGCGTACTTGTCAGATAGCCGGGCGGGCGAAAACTTCCCTTGTTATCTAATGTTACATCACATAACCTCCCTTCTTATCTTGTGTAAGCTGTGAGCTATTCCATTGTTTATTTTTGTTCCATTTGTGTGACTTTCATCAAATTATGGATGTTATTACATTATGAGAATTACCCTCTTCAGAAGAAAAGGCTATCGAATATTTTCAAAATGCCGGGATAGTTCCAAACATGATATTGTGTGAAGATGGTCATCAAATGAAGTTAGACAGGAAGACGAAAAATAGATGCTTTCGTACCACTTGTAACACAAATGTTTCTATAAGCAAAGGAATGTGAACATGGTTAGAGGGGTCTTGGATTTCGTTTTAACAGCTTTAAAATTAATTTATGGGTGGTTCCATAATTTAACAAAAATACAGTGGGGCAAAAAGCAGCTGAAACTATCCAAGCCAACTATGATAACGTGGAACAAATTTTTAAGAGGCGTTTGTGCTTATAACATGTTAATGTTATACAGATCAAGTAAAAAAATTGGAGGCCCTGGCAAAGTTGTTGAAGTAGATGAGTCTTTTTGTAAAAGAAAAAAAATTAAGTAGGGAGAGTTCTACCTGAGCAATAGATGTTTTGCAGAGTTTGCCGAGAAACAGATGAGTGTTTAATCAAAATAAACAACAAATATTAATAAAAAAAAAATAAATAAAAGTAAAAATAAACGACAGAAAGGCAACAACTTTATTACAAAGTATTAAAAACAATACACAAGAGGGAAGCACCATTTATTCTGACTGGTGGAAAGGGAAGAGGTTCCTCGCTATTTTAAATAGCATTCAATTATTTTGTCTACCAAAATAAAAAAAAGTGAAAATAAAATTGTTTTATATGTTAATATGTTGTTTATATTGTTTCTTTTATGTGTACATATGTTGTTTAAGTGTTTTTTTATTATTTCATTTTTTTTATTATTACATTTATTTTTGTCTATTTCAATATGTGTAGTAAAATTAAACTATTTTGTTATTGTTGTGGGAATTGTTACATTTGTTTTCGTCTATTTAATAAATATATTGTAAAATAAATGTATTTTTTTATTATTACATTTGTTTTTGTTTACAATTTCAATAATATAAATATAATACAATAAATATGAATTTCGAAGATAGGAATTATCAGTGCTTTATCATAATTATCAGCGTTCAGGTTATAAACATTGGTAGATAACAGTCAGACCTGCCCTTGTCAGAAAATGTATTTTATTCAAAGCTGAGCTGTAAGTGAAAGTTGTGTGATGCCTGCACTTGCAATAGTAATTTTTCAAAATTAACAATCAAAAGAGTAAATCTGTTGATAAGAATAAATGAAGTTATTATCTTGATTTAAATATATATATATATATATATATATGTAAGCAGTAATTGCCAGTAATAATATTCATTGTTACCTTTCATATTTTTATTTTATTAAAATCGGTTGTTGGGCCAGGTTTTGGTTTAGAGTGATAAATGTATATGTTGATTTACTAATTTGCCTTTTATTTAAAAATATTGTATACTGATAATGAACAGACATAAGTGATGGGATTTAGTTTCATTTCTTAAGCTTAGTTTATTCCTGATGTTGATGGAGACATTTTTGGTATTTTCAAATGTTCTGAAGGAAGCCTAACCCAGATGTAGAAACCGTTCCTTAGATTAATTAGTTTTTAAAATATATTGTTTTATAAGGTTCTGCATTCTTGCCGCCAACCACTGCCCTTGGTGCTGGATTATATTCAATATCCATGTATGGAGGGTTACTTGTCTTCTCTGGACTCCTGCTGTATGATACCCAAAGAGTTGTGCGGTCTGCGGAGACCTATCCCCAATATGCTGCTCATCCTTTTGATCCAGTCAATGCGTATGTATTTTAAAAAATTTATTTTTATTAGATAAGGAATTTATAAAGAACTATATTACTTTTATGAGTTAAAAAGATATATTGTTCTTATACTTGGATAATGTTTAAATTATTTATTTATTAAATAAATTAAAGGAATATTTCATGATGGTATGCGTATAGAAATACATGCACCCATTATAGGGTTACTGTAATGTGGAAAAAAAAAAAAAAATTGCACGGTGGCAATCTTTAGATAGCTGTCAGGGATTGGCAAAAAGGGCCATGTGGCCTACTTGCCGGACGGACTATTTCCCCCCACCAATAGCAGTGCCAGTAACACATTGTATAATTGTAACTTAATAAATCTGATTTTGGGTTTTTAAATTGTTTGGCCATTCTATCTTTGTAAATGTTTCTTGAAAAAAGTCATGCACATTACAATTTCGCAATAATATATTGTAAACTTAGTCCAAATTAAAAAAATTATGTCTCTTTTCGCCTATTTATTTTTTATATAAAACTTATTATATTTTTGCCAAATTTGTTTAATGTTATCAGATAAGTATAATCCTTACCATCCAATCTAAAGAATTGTAAAAAGTATGGAAAAATAGTTTGAAAAATAATATTTTTTTATATATTAAAGGAGCTTTATTTTTTTAGTTGATTCATTAAAAATAATATAATATTTATTTTGTTTATTAATGACTTTTTTATAACTTTTTGTTTTTTAATTGTTATAGATCCATTTCTATTTATCTTGATGTGATCAACATATTCATCAGGATTGCCACAATGCTTGCAACCTCAAATCAGAAGAGAAAGTAAACTGATAATCAAATGAACAAAATTATCAACAGATAATCTTTAATTAATTACATGTGATTGGATTTTGATTATACTTTGTTGGTTAAATAATAATGATTTTTTTACTCTTATTATTATAGTTAAGGTATTGTTGATTTATGATAAAAAATTATGTGTTATTTATCAAATTTAATTTATGTCTCTTCTTTAGATGGTTTGAGACATTAAAAAATGTTTATAATGTAATTATTTTTTTGCAAAAATAATTAGTTTATTGATAAAAAAAAAGAGATAATTTAAAGATCTTTTCTATTATTATTTGCAACCAGTGATACTTAGGTGATTTGATATTTGAATCCATCTTTATGCTTCACTAGTCAACTTGTATCAGTAACAGAATTTCTTCATATCTTATTTTCAAAAATGTTTTCTTCATAATACCCATCTTAATATTGTTCCCAAATATTTTAGAATAAGTTAGACATTCTGTAGTAAATATAAAAGTATTAAAGATGTAATTTTAAATTCACTTGTACTGTTCTATTTTTACGAAAATTGAAAATTTGAATAAAAAACTAATGAATAATTTTCTTTACTTCTTTATAATTTATAAATTTAATAATATTAAATCAAAATATCCTTATCATTATAATCAATTGAAGAAGAACTTGGATGTAGTGTGTAGTTATCAATAAAAAACAAAAATATGAAACCTCATTTTATGGAGTGCCAACGTTTCAGACCTTCATCAGGACCAACAAGAGGAGTCTAAAAAGAGTGGGTCACCGATTTCAGCCAAATGTTTTTCGGTGATACTATATCAAGAAATATTTGACACATATCCCAGCATTGGTTACACTGGACTCTATGAGCTGAGAAAATGAATATTTATATGATTTCATATCAAATTTATGTTATTTATTTTTGCCTTTGCTTTGATTGGATTTTTAGGTTGTATATGAATCCAATCATTTTTTTGTGTAGAATAAGAAAAAAATATTGACCAAGGTATGAGATAAGTTATAATGTATCATAAATTACAACAAATATTTGAATAGAAGAATAGAAAAATATTATCTAGAGATTAAAAAGTGCTTCCAGTTAAATAAATAAGTGTCGCAACATCCTGTCACCGAGACTGAGCTCCTCAAAAAGTTGCCGCCATTTTGTTCGGTTGTTTACTGCAGCTCTCCACTTTCGGACTCACAGAAGGGCCCGCGTGTCTGCGGTGACTGAATCCATCCATCACACATTCGGTCGCTGCTTTCCATAGAGCTCTTCTGTAAGGATCATTTTCGGAATATCATTGGCAGCCATCCTTAGCTCATGTCCTGCCCATCGAAGTCGTCCTAGCTTCATGAACTTATCTATGTCAGCATCATTGTAGAGTCTTGTTAGTTCTGCATTCCTCTTTCTCCATACGTCGTCCTGTTGATCAGGGCCAAAAATCCGTCTAAGAATGCTCCTCTCGAATACAAGAAGCCTAGACTCGTCCGCCTTAGTGAACACCCAAGCCTCTGAGCCTTAAGTGATGCGTGGGCGGACCAAGGTCTTATAGAGCTTGATCTTGGCCCAGTTAGAGAGCATTCTGCTTCTAAAATGTTTGATAAGGCCAAAGTAGCAATGGTTAGCTGCTGCAATCCTTCTATTTACTTCCTGGGTAGTGTTATTTTAGGAGTTGATTTCCAAACCCAAATAGGTGAAGAAGCTGCTTACCTTTTGGATTGAAAACAGTACTCTCCTGCATCAAAATATCCTATTTTGCATCTTGAACAATTAGGCCAAGATCCCTAGAAGAATTTTCCAGAGCCAGGAATGATTCTCGTAGGGCCCGTTCCGATCTGGCAGCAATATTAAAATCATCATTGTATCCCAGAAGTTGGACTGTGCTGTTAAACAGTGTTGATTGGAGTTGAATTCCTTACCGCTTTCTCCCCTGCAAAATTAAAAAAGGAGATAAGCCGAAGCATCTCCTTGCTTAACACCATAATTTGTGAGAAAGAGGTGAAAAAGATTACACCCAAACATACCATACACTTTAAACTCGTCATTGTCATCTTAACCAGTCTCACTAAGTTCATCTTTTTTAGAGCCTGGTAAAGTTCCGGTCAAGCAACGCTGTCATATGTGGATTTGAAATCGACAGAGATGATGACTAACGATTTTATACTCTTTGCATTTTTCTAACATCAGTCTTAATGTAAATATTTTAAATTCTGTCTGATACTTCCCAATCTCTGGTAGAAGATATTTGAGAGTACCTTATAAGCATATGAGAGAGCAATACTCGGGTAGTTGCTGCTCTCTCCTTGTGGAGAGGACAGATAATACCTTAAGTGCACTCCTTAGGCATTTTTTCTTCTTGCCAAATAGAAAGGATCAGATTGTAGAGATCCTTGTTAAAGTCAGGTCCAACATACCGCAGTAGCTCTGCTTGAATGCCATCTTGTCCTGGTGCCTTAATATTCTTCAATTTTGCAATGGCTGCCTCAACCTCATCTTCATTAGGTGGTACTGTGTCATCCTGTGTTTCCTCTTCTTGAAGTGAGAAGCATTTCGCTCCAAGATATCCTGTTTATCTGTTATCTATCTTAACATCGTTTGCGGGGCAAGCAGCAAAAGCTCTCACGAGATCTTCGTAGAAGCCATCTTTATCTTTCTCTGGTGACACCTCAGTAGGTGCATGGTATTTGATGAAAGAGATGTTAAAAAATTCCCCTTTAAGGCAGATGAAGTATGAATGAGATAGAGAGATGGTTGTAAATTTTAAGACTGATTGGTGGGCTCTTCCTTTAACAGTAAATCCAGTACCGAAGGTGTGATGGGTTTCGTGGGAGCTGTAGTACAGGGTGTGGCATTTCTTTTCAACTGTACCACTTCCAAGCCAGCAGATTTTCTGGATTGCTGCTATGTAAATGTGGTAATCGTCAATAATGTTAAGAAGCACCCGAAGGGCTCCTAGTCGGTGGAGAGAAAGAATATTCGAGTAGGCCACACGTAGGTCAGTTTGGCAGTTCCTGCTCTTATTTCTTTGAGACAATGCGGCTTTATTACTTGTTGTAGTCTTCGTGATAGACAATTTTAAGAGGAATTGGTTATCAGCCTATTGTCCCTGAGTCAGGTTTAGGGACTGCCTCCTCAGAGAATCCTGAGGTCGGGTTTATACCATTTCTTATAGCATATAGAGCCCTAAATCCCTAATAATTTATGTGTAGATCAGTGAAACTGTTTTAAAGTTATCATAATTTTCGTGTTGTCAACAAAACTTTGAAAAGTACAAACTAGATAAAAATTTCATTCCGAAAATTTTAATTTTTCGATTGCTATAAAAATTCATACCCACTTTTTTTGCTGCGAATAAAAAAATAATTTACTCTGGATACTGGATTAGTTTTAACTAAGTATTATATTTGACAGATAACTACAATATGGGCAGAATCTGGACCAACTGATGTACCATTGTGGGAATAAATATTATTTCAAAGGTCACAAAAAACGAATCTTAACTAGATTTTTCATAACAAAAATTTACTTGATCTACTTTACTGGAAGCGTCTTTTGGTTATTATAATTTATGATACTTTATAACTCATTTAATACAATAGTCAATATTTTTTTCTTATTCTGTAAAAAAAAAGAAGAAATTATTGATTTATAATAACCTAAAAATATGGGCAAAGCAAAGGTAAAAATAAATTACTTAAAATTGGTTTGAAATTATAAGTGAGATAGATTTTTATCTCACTTTTCACCTAATTCATATACACAATGCTGGCCTTAGGGCGGGGCAATTGCCATGAGGCACTGGCCCCTCTCCACTTCCTGTTAAAAAAAAATGTGTTAAAATAATTACTTTTAGCTTATCAATAAAGCAACTGTATTGGAGAAACGTGGAATGAAATTAAATTAAAATATAGCATAATATGAAACTGCTTAAAAAATAATTTTTTTTTTTAGGGAGAGAGGGAGATGAAGTCATTGCCTGGTGGCGCCGAATGTCTAAGGCCAGCACTGCCTATACATATATATTTTTTCTACCTTTTTTTCCCCTTACAAGGAGAGCTCACAGTGAGTTGGTCTCTGATTTCAAGCATTTTTTTTTCAGTTATTCTACATAGACAAATATTGAACACATACTCCAGCATCCCCTCTTATGCTGTAGTTGACATCTAATCTTATTTACTTTAGTGAAGTTTTTAGTTTCTCCATTGCTTTATCTATATTTTCTTGCCACACACTATCATATGCTGCCTTAAAGTCCAAAAAGAACATTACCTTGGAGTTGTATTACTTCATCTCCAGGATCGGCCTAATGTGTACAGCTGGTCAATGTTGGACTTTTTTCTGGTGAAGCCACTTTAGTACTGCCCAAGCATCCTCTCCACAAACATAATATAATTTGAATTTATCCGTGAAGCAGAGGAAAGAATCTTGAAATGACAAAAATGTCAATATTTGGAAAGGCATCTGATTAAAGACAATTATTTTGGAAGTCAATAATAAAGCTGAGCACGTTGGGACACAGGTCTCAGAGTGTCTTGTTCTGAATGTTGTGGGTTCGATTCCCATCTAGGTTAGTTTTTTTTCATTTCTCATTGTCTCTGGAAATGAATCTCTACATAAAGGAAATGAATTTCCCACTCTGGTAAGTACACGGAGGCAAATTCAAGGTTTAGAACTTTTTACTTCATCTTTAAGTGAAAATTGTAGACATTTAAAAAAAATAAAATTTAGGATATATAGCCACAAAAATGTGCAATGTTGCATGAAAATGTATTTTATAAAGGTGATAATAAATGAACTTATAAATAGAATCAAAAAGAAATATAAAAAAATATTCAAAGCTTTTAATTCATTTTTCTACAAAACATACATAATAATTTGATTATAGAAGTTTCATTGTAAAAATCATCATCACAATCTATTTCTTCTTTGCCACTTAAGCAGTCTGATGTTTATATATAGTAAAAATAGAAATAAAATTATCTCTAAATGTTTCAATTCAATGTTACAGTTATTGATTTTTTTCCGTAACCTAGTTCTAGATTACTAGTTGCTATGGAGTTCTCAGTGAATAGTGGTTATGAAATAGTATTGTCTTCAAAGTTTCATGGAATTTTCTGTGAAACCAAAACTCTATTATGTTGGTAGCACGTTGCATTCTATATTCCTCAGATGGGATACTGATGAAGAGGCAGCTGATCTTATTTATCACATTGAAATGAAGGATGATACATATGTATGGATTACTAAATATTGGTAGGCTTCAGCTTTTATTTTCTTAAAATGTTGCTAGGTTCATTCATTTAGTTTAGATTCTAATTGTATAGGGGAATGAAAACTCATTGTGAAATTAAAGGCCTAGGTCCTGAAACACTTTACTATTTTCGTCTCGGAGTTTCTTTTGAGCCTGGTGGAGTGGAAGTTCAAAGCG